CATCTTCAGGAGCGTCCTCAACGCGAGCACGCTTTGAGCGTGTCTCCTCCTTGGCGTGAAGTGAGGGCGAGCGAGAACGCGAACCCGGACCTGTAGATGGGCCAGCCACAGGTTCGCTTGCACGGGGGAAGACCTGGTGCATTGCTCGAAGGGCATCCTTGGCGGCCTGTGGCAGGCCCGACGTTCGAGCGTTGGTGGGATTGTGAACGTAGTAAGTTGATACGGCCACATATAGTGGTTGGCCGTGGTTCTTGGCGCAACAGCGATCGCATGAGCAGAGCTTGTACAGGCCTTGCTTGACGCGATCGTCATTACCGTTAACCGGGGGTAGCTCGCGCGGCATTGTGACTCGGAGGGCAAAGTGTAGTGAAGGCGCGCCGCGTGGACTTAGTGTATTTGCGATGCTCGGTTGACTCAGCCGCGTCGAGTAGCCTTACTTTAATTTGGCCGCCTCGTTTAGATGAAATGCGCGTGTGGGTTTTGTTTCTAGTGTAGGCTACATTAGTTCTAAGCTATTCTCCAATCTAAGTTGAGCGCTTGAGCTCATTTTCGCTCGAGTCGAGAATGTCGTCGCCGGATACAAATCGGCTTCCGGAACTGATGATTACAAGTGCGAAAGTGTCACGTCGTCATCGAATTCCGCAGATTGTACATATTTAGATAGAAGAACAACGATTCCAATAGAGGGTGTTTTCACTGGGACTCATCATCCACGATCCGCTCCCGATGTGGATTTTCAAGCAAGAGTGATACTTATTGGGGGCATGGCGCATCCTTCCCTCTCGTGAGTTTTCCACTTTAGGTTTTGTGCCGTGTGATATATCTTGATGATGTGGTATGTATAGGACAAGCATGCAAGGTGGCTCGCAGGCGATCGAAGACGGCGGCGTTCTCGCTGTCGCTCCCCAGATTGCAGGGAAAGACAATCTCCTGCTCACCGTATAAGGATGGGAGAAGATCCGGTGAGACTAATACCTTTCCGACGCTCTTTTGGTTTCATGCCCAATCGTATCTCTCCGCACTATCGCTTACCCTCCATGCCTACATACAGATACCTCCGCGTCCGCGGATCCCAGCTAGTTGGCGAAGATGTCCGTAACCGGTGGCGTCGCGACCAGCCGGACGACCGTTGGCCGGATGTGCCCTGCCCAGAGTGGCTGTTCGCGTTTGAAGCTGAAGCGGACGCGTACGAGGCATTTGATGGTGTCGCGAAGGATATCAGGGAGAAGAGGTGTGCGAGGCCGGTGTTGCCGCCTGAGCTTTCGCCGTGAGTATGAACGGGATGCAGGATGTGGTGAGGACACTGCTTATAGGGCTCCTGTGTAGACGTCGATAACGAATATTGTTGCAGCTTGGCGAGGATCTCGGAATTTATGAATGTTGGTTGCTGATATTGTGTCGCTCCTCAGACTTGACCCTAAACCTCTTTGCCACTGGAAAGAGGCAGGCGTGAATAAGGCAGATTAGTGTGCTCGAGGACAATCCATTCTCAGTGCACGCTCTGTTCTCATCTGTTCCGCTTGGAGCGCGCGCGAAGATCTCGATTGCTCTCGCTGCCTCATTCCCGTGTTAATTCCCGCGTGAATGCAGTATGGTGAAGCGCCGGGGCCGTGCTCTGCACCGACCATCCACAGGACCCCTCGTGGTCACGTCCACAACCCAGCGGTTATATGTATGCCTGGTAGTCTGTATGTTTCTTGGCATCACAGAGCTGACGAAGTCTCGTCTTAGGGCGATACGATTCGCAAATAGCCGAGCCACAGGAGTTATACGCTGTAAGAAAGCCCCAATGCTATCACTGGCTTCTCCCAAGTCCCAACGAATGCCTACGCCCCGTCAATCGTACGTGCTTACACGCTGACTCCCTTGATGAAAGCATGGTAAAGACCAGCACGCTTGTACACTGCCCTGTCTTCATGCCGTATGTATCGCCCCGTACCCTGTCAATGCTTTCTGATTGCCAAAAATAATACAGTTCAATGATAAAGTTGACGAGATGGAGCCAAAGGGAGCGACCCCGAATAGAAGAAGAGACACATGCATGATGGACAGGTTAGGCGCTCATGTTGGACTGGTGTTCCGTTTGGAGACGAGGTAGCGTACGTGTCCTATTGTAGTACAGCTTTGATCCTTTCCTTCGGCTCTTCTTATTTTCTACTGAATGATTGCACCCTCTCGCTCCAGAATGCCTATCGCTGTTCTGACTTTTCTCGTCGCCGTTGAATGACCTGTCATCGCCACGACTGGGCCCACGGGCGTTTCTACATTTGATTCGATGCGGAAGATCAGCGACGCGGGCAGGTGATGACGCCGCCACCTGTCGGGTTGTACACAGCTGTGGAATCGAAGGTCAGATGAGACCCTCGTTGCAGGTTTAGCAATCTTTCACTTCCCCTCCCATCGCTGCCTTGGCTGACCACGACACCTCGTGTATGGCATCCCGTTCACAGCATCCATTGATCTAGGGCCCATGATACTTATCAGGAGAAGGATTTACCCGACTGAGTTGCCGTTTCTCAGATCTCAGCGCCTACTGTGCAGTGCATGTCACTGGTTGGAGCCTAGTTGCTGCATCCGTATCGATAGGGTGAGTTATCTTGGTACACCCTCGTGCCCTGCAATGGAATACGCGAGCGTAATGCCAGCTGTAGTGCCTTCCATCATCGCACATGTTCTGATCGGAATACAGCTAACGTCGCGCTCGCATTCGTGCTCGTGTTGTCTTCCTACTACATATACGGCGACGTGCTCGTTGTCTCCTCCATCTTTCTCCTCCGACAACCCATCCGCTCGCCCACAGAGTACCCAACTCAAACTTACAGACACCCATCCCCAAATTGATCACTCGTATTCCGCCTCAGACTTGAAGCATCCAGACTTTTCTCGTTCTTCGCCATTTTGCCCCTTACCCACCGGCTGCCAACGATTATCTGCAAAAGCTCGGCAGTTTCTCTCTGCGGATAGACTCGCCCTCAGTCAAACGGCGAAATCCACAAGACATCCCTCCGTTCCCTTCTTCCCCCCTCCTCCGTTTCACAGGTTTTTACAGCTTACTCGCAAGATACTCAAGATAGCTCGAGGTTTTTTTTACAGGTTGACTTGCTCTGGGACGGTCACCGGAACCTCACCTTGTCTTCCTTCCCCTTCTTTTTCCTTTACAGCTGTTTACAGGTTACGCGCAAGATACTTGGCATAGGCTTGAGCGTTTCTTTTACAGGTTACCGTCTCAGACTTTGACGTACATCGAAAGTATCTATTCGTCGTCTTCTCATCGTGCTTCACTTTCCACCTCTCTCTGTTTACCTACTGGTATCGCTAAGGTGAGCATTACGGCCCGCTGTCCCAGCCAAATTTGCGCTTACGCTCGCATGAAGCAGTACCTTTCAGTTATGACCGATCAGGCTCGCCTTGACACTCAGTGGCAAAAACTCGGCGAAACTTGCATTCACTCTGCTCAATTCGACTCCCATGAGCGTCGGCCATTCTCCCAGTGCCTCCCAGGTACTCGTGGCCACCTACTCAACACCCTCCGCACCGCCATTAGGACTCAGACCAAGAAGATCATCTGGCTCTCGGGCGAGTCCGGGTCCGGCAAGTCCGCCGTGGCCCACACGCTAGCTCAGGAGCTCCACGCTAGCGGCGCGCTTGCGGCGTCGTTCTTCTTCTCCCGTCGACACCCTCTTCGCAGTAAATCCGACAATTTCATCTCTACAATCGCATATCAGCTCGGTCTCCACCATCGACATGCCAAAGAGATTATCACCAATGCACTTGCGGATGATCCCTTTCTGCTTCGGCCGGAACGCTCCCGGACCGAGCAGTTCACTCGGCTCGTCCTCGAGCCGCTGAGGGCGCTCAGACTTATCTGGAAAGATGCAGGAAAGGTAGCAGTCATGCTCTTTGACGCACTTGATGAGTGCGAGCCAGGCGAAAGCAATGATAGTCTCCGCGAGCTAGTCGACTTCTTTGTCAAGGCACTTCAAGACGAAGGCATAGCTAATTTCCACGTGGTGGTAACGAGTCGTCCCTATTCTCACATTCAGGACGTCTTGGCTAGGCCGACCCTTGTTTTACCGTACGTCATGGATGACTTTGACGCCAGAGATGATATTGAGCTCTACCTGGAAACGTCTTTCAACGATCTCAGGTGTATCCCTCACTTCTCTCTTCCAAAGTCATGGCCATCAAACGCTGAGCTCCAGCTCCTTGTGGATCGTGTGTCTCGTCGTTTCATCGTTGCTTCAACAGTTATCAGGCTGCTAAAGCAGAAGCGGCCATCCGACGTACGGCGGTTTCTCGCTACGCTGTTACAGACGCAGCAATTAACTAGCAATATCGACGAGCTATACCGTCACGTCATTAACTCGTCAGGGCACAGTTCGACCGGCACATCTCTACTTGTCTGTATCTTATCGCTGTACCAACCACTATCTGTTCATGATCTCTCATCCCTCGTTCAATACGATGTCCGCCCCATCCTTGACTCCATGGCTGCTATTGTTTATGTCCCACGTGATGGTTCTAACGAGCCCGTCACAACATATCACACGTCGCTGCGCGACTTCCTTTGGGACAAGTCACGGACCCAGGCGCTATATTCCAGTCCTGCCGCTGCTCACTGCTCCCTCACTACCATTTGCTTAGAGCTCATGGATGGACCGCTCACTAAAGATATATGTGACTTTGGTGATGCTTCACGTCTACACACTGAGATTGAGGAATTTGCAGCCAAGAGAGACGAGAAAATCTATCCTGCCCTGGCATATGCTGCGAGGTTCTGGCTCCACCACCTTTGCGAGTCACCGCCCGATCGTCGAATGCAATACCTTCTTTCATTGTTCGTCAAGGAGCACATGCTCCATTGGATTGAAGTAGCGTCCCTGACAGGCGTTTTCGGCCACTGTATTGCCGCTCTGTTTCGAGCACTTTCACACATTAAAGTAGGTTGACAATTGGCCGATTCTCTGAGTTTTCTCCGTTGCTCAATATATACCCTTTCAATAGACCTGGACGTCAATACCTGATCACGAGGAGACCATTGCCCTCTTGAATGACACATATCGGCTCATGAACGAGTTCTTCGACTGCATCACCCAAAATGCTCTCCATGTCTATCATAACGCCCTACCGCTGTGTCCAACAAATACCATAATTCGGAAAGCCTATAAACACGTCCTATGCGGAGCATCAGCTACTGCTGTCGAAGGGCTCGATGAAGATTGGAGTCCTGTTGTTCGAGTAATCAACTTCGATGATGGTGCCAAGGTGCTCTGTACCTCTTTTGATGGTCGCCTTGCAGCTGTATTGGGAGAAAAGAAGATCGAGGTATGGGATATTATGGCCAATGTCGTAGCTGCATCCCGTCCTCGTCTAAAGAGCTCCACTAAGGCTTTTGGACTACGGGGATTGGCTTTCTTCAGCAAGAACTCCTCTGTCCTTGCCTATTGCAACTCACAGAAGTCACGGGGGTCTGGAGTTGTGATACACATCTGGAATTTTTCAACCAACACTATCTCCCCAATTCCAGCAGAGAACGTTGATGTTGCAGCTATCTCCTCAGCTGGTGATCTAGTGTGCTGGATCGACCGCGATAGATTGACTATTGCAACGGTCAATGGTCACCCAGGATTTACAACCATCCTTCATGGACTCGACTATTCTCGAGTGTACTCAAGAGTGTACTATTGTAATTTTGAAGATTCTATCATGGAAGAGAAGCCACCCCTCTCGTCCCAACATTCGTTCGTTATTGCCGCTGGGCACGATTCTTCTGAGACTTTCATTGTCAGTATGTGGAACTGCCGTAGCGGAGATTTCATCTGCCGCATATCTCTTGGTTCTTCTCCAAGGCATGCAACTGTGCCCCAATATTCATTCGCTCTCACTGAGCACGGCATCGCGTTTGTCCCCTACAGTGTGGGCCCTCTCAATGAGCACCACATAGAATTCGTCCCCTACGATGTGTTACGACATATGTCTACTCATATTTCCAGACGATCAAGTCCCGACCGTAATTCCGACACAGAGACTGACTCCCGTGTTTTGCAGGCGCAGGACTACTTTGACGCATCACTCCGTCAGTACAGCATCACGGCACTTGAACGTGGTATCTTTAAGCTTGATGGCGTGTACTACTGGTCTTGCGATTATGGCATGAAGAGGGACTTTAACTTCGCGACCGCACAAGAGAGCGTCGCATTCATTCCGTTTACTACATCAGAGTCATGTATTGAGCTCATCGACCCCTGCCTATTATCTCCTCCGGGTTCCGAAAATGACAAGAAAGATGTAGTCCGGAGAGCTGTGCCTGGCTGCGGCGACGACGTATTTGCTGTGGTTCAGATTGCGCAGTGTCAAGGGTGGCTTCAAATTCGAGATACGCAGGGCAGGAAAACTACAGCAAGAATTCCAGATGAATATTGCGACACGCTTATACAATCCCCAACATCGATATTATGCTTCTGCTCTCGGGACGGAACCCTCCTTGGTCTGGGTCCTAGAGACAATCGAGACAACACTGTACTAAGCGTCTACCACACTAGTACCCATCCTATGGAGCGAATCTTAACCATGGACTCGGACCGCCTGCCCCCTTTCCCCAATATAGCTTGCTTCTCGCCAAACTCCTCTTATCTTGCTGTACTGGGCAATGTTCGTGGAATTATCGTATGGAGTATCGCAGGCGGCGAAGAAGTTTCTAGGATACTAGACTATAACAGCATCCTCGTCAAAAGCATGGCCTTTGCGGGGAGTGATAGGTTACGCTTGCAACGCCCTGCTCAAATAGGGTCGGATGGCACGCTCCAGTGGGATATACATGAAATGCAACTCACACCCCCGCACTCTAACTGGAACTATGAGGCTTCATGTGATGTCAATCCCTACTTGGACTGGAAGCCGGATGAGATGGAGAACTCGCGTATCATCAGCACTGGCAGCTCACACGTCAACAAGTACATTCATCGCCTTGTTCGCCTTGTTCGCGGCCCGAACAATAGAAATGTCGGAGTAGATGAAGGATTTCTCCTCCTCGAGGAATGTGGGTCCTTATGCTCGCGCTTAAACTCGCCATGCTAATCCAGCGCAGATCAAGACCAATCTTTTAGAGTCACGGAGAAATATCCTACGGGTACCATCCTAGACGTGCACACTTCGTCCTCGTTCAGGCTTGATCCTGATGGCTGGCTGTGGGGGGATGGTCCTCGCAGAGTTATTTGGATTCCTCAAAAGTACAGGCCTATGGTCGGCGACCTGCCGTATAATAACGTCTTGCTGTATAATGACGACTTCGAACGTGTATACAAAACAAGAGCTGCGGTGCGCAAGTTCGGAGAGTCCGGGGTTCTCATCTTTTCAACCGAGCGCGAGTTGCCTTTAATCCTCGAGTTTCGATAAATACGTGACTACTTGGTTCTTGCTAATCCGGTGCTGATTAGGCGTGCACTCAGTGGCAAGTCGTTGTCATAGAGGCCCCGCATATCCCAACACCTTCTCGAAGCGCTAGCAGAGTAATACGACGTTTTTGACCCGTGTATGTGTATGTACCAACGAATCATATGATACAGTTAAGCTGCCTAAAGGGAATGCGAATTGATTCGAGCTGTCAGCCCGAGAAAACTCGGATCTCAAACCCAGGGACAGGATAATGCAAGCATCAGCACACCTGTCTTTCTTCGTGTTGCGCGAGTCACTGATTGTCCGGAAGCGAGGGCTACGTGAGATGAAACGATGCTCCGTCGCGTTTCCTTCCGACGACAGTCCAATTGAATCACTTTAGGCATGTACTTGAACCGTTGAGTCAGGCAGAAGGTGTGAATAGGTCTTGCTGGTCAATGAATCTCGAGCCTGAATTGGGTCGACGAGTCAGCTTGGGTGGGTGGATGTAGCTTGAGAGGAACAGGGATAAGAACGACAAAGGAGACCACAAATGATGTAAGCAAGTTGCGGGACGGGGATGGATAGAGGAACAGGGAACTTGCTTCGAGGTTGTAACAGGCACCGCGAACCAAGTCCCAAAGCGACTCAAAGACGCACCTTGGCCGTCGCATACATTCATGGTCGCATACATTCATGCCTCGAGTTCGCGTTCCGCGCAAGCAAATCCACAGGCCCGACACCACTACCCAGCATCGTATTTCGCCCATCGCCCTATATCCCTATCCGCGCTCGCCATCAGCCAAAGAAGAAGGCATGGACATGTCATGGCCGGCCCTCGTGATGTGTCGCCGCTCACCAGGAGAGCTCATGAGGTGGAATCTGGTCCGACGATGGATGCAACGGGGTCAACATGGGAAGAAATAGCGACCTGCTTACGGGCCGCTCAGACATCCTCTTGGATACCTCCTTTATCTTTCTCTCGACGTCTTCGTGGAATTTCTCGTGGGAAGCGTTCCGCGGGTGCGGAGGACTTCACTGTGCCCATTACACTGCATGGAACATCGTGGACGAAAGAAAAGCAGATTTGGGGCGACGCACGGTGATCCACACAGCTCTATCCTTATTTGTCGCATAAAAGGTACCAATCTCCAATGCATGACGTTGATTTCTGTCGCCATATCCGACACCAATGGCTGCAGTGTAGTACTTTTCTCTGAGCCGGGACGCGGCTCATGCGCGCACGCAGCTGTCTTTCGAGGGTGGAAATGGCCAGACTTCTGGGGAGTCCAAGGGCGAGTACCCTGGTGCCCGGCGACGTTCTAGAACCGCGAGAGGAATAATTCGTGACGCAGATATGAAAATTCAAGACAGAGCGTAGCCAAGGAGAGCTCACAGATCCAGACTATGAAGACGAACCTTCTAGACACGTCTCATGCTTCGTTATAGTCCTCGTGATCCTTCCGGCACTTTCTGCTTGCCATTCCCAATATTGCAAGGCTTTGTAGTCGAAGGTTCTGCGGGAAAGCTTGCTAGCTGGTGGCGACGTTTACGCGGAACGAGTGGGTGAGGGTAACACCTATTGAGGTGTAGACGATTGGAGCATGATTAATCAATCATAATGCTTTCAGGGTGGGGTGGTGCCACTATCTGAGTCTTGCATTGTACGATCGACGACTACTGGCTAGGTTGAGTGGGCGATAGAAGAGCACCGAGCCGCCAGCATCCCGCCGTCCATCCGAAGCGGAAGGTCAGAGCCTTGAGAATTCGGCGTCCGGCCCGGATGTTTTCAGTGACTCCCGGCTGGCTCCTCACAAAAGCGTCTGTCGTCCAAACGCGTTTCTCCTCGATGCATGAACCCCCCGGCCTGGACTGATGTTCACCCCGCTGCCCGATGTAAACACCTCATCATCCGCAAGCAAAACCCGGCGTTCTCAACCTTACGTGCACCCGCACGAACGTCGTGATCTTGGATCTCCCAGCACGCGTTACGTCCCTTTAGCAAGGAAGCACTAGCCCGAACCACTGCTCAGCAAGTCTTTCAGCCTGAGGGTCCACTACACGAGGGGAATGCAATCCATTTATCCTCCCGTACTGTCCTGTTGCTGTAGCATGTTGGTACTCTTCTACCCTCAGTTGGCGCGAAAGGTTTGATGCGGTTTAATGGTCTATCTTAGCTGTCACTGACTCTTCCATGCAGCTCTACGACACATCTGCAGTTATCAGACTTCTCCATACTACCTAACTCCCTCCCTTCGAAATTTCCTCGCCATCATACCTCGATTGGTAGAATACCTTTCACTCTTCCCCTCTCACGAGGAGACGCTATCTTGTCTGATCATCGTCAAAAGCCCTCTCGCAAGGCATTGAGTGTATTGCATATAGGTTCTTTTTGACTAATGTCCCGCCTTTCATGGAATGACGAATGCTGTCCTCTATTACAGTAGACCGCACACTTGAACACGGGGCAACGCTATCGTGCGGTTTATCTCTTTTCCCCGTCGGTCAAAATGACATCGAACATCCAACTCAATTATACCGCCCTCGTAGCATCGCTGGAAAGCACGAGACGTCATCACTATCACCATTGGAGGAGGGTTCGGAGGCATCGTGCGGGCGATTGAGGACAAGGAGAGGGAGCGCCTGGCACCAGCGCTGTAGTGGGTGCCGGTGCTCCATACTAGAGTGAGTCGACGCGTTCGTGCTTTGTAAACTCATCGATGACGTTTAAGAAAAAGTACGCCGTCTCCCATCACCCATGCCGCTCATACATTCTCAACGCTCTTTAAAACAATCAGCACCGGACTGAACGCCGGTCGTACCATTGATCGCTGGAACTTCGCACGATAGCTCACGGTCAGTCCCTTTAACGTCCTTCAAATGCCTTAAGCATAACCTTTTGATACTAGCCATGGGAGCTGCGCCGATACGTCGACAAACTTAGTTTGCACGACTACCTCAGCGAGATCATGCCGTGGGGATATACGACGGGCCCTGCGCGGAGATGCACGAAATCGTTTACAAGTACTCCTGTTCGCCAGGCATCGATGTCCGATCCAGGCGTAGCATCTCGGAGCATTCGAGAATGATACAGCTAGCAAGCCCCGAGTAACTGTGGAGGTGAAGGGGGAGATGATTTGTATGGAGGGAGATCTGGTCTTCGCAGTCGACGGGGTGGGGCGTAAGGTGATGAGATACACATCGGTGCGTTCATCCCTGCTTCATTCAACATCGTCGGCTGATAAGACGTGCATAGCTCATGTAGGGACACAACGACAAACTCGGATCATCTTTCGACGCTATCTACCGCGTGTGGTCCAACGGGGAGGAGCTGCGTGTGGACAAGGACCCGCTGTCGAGGAGCCTCACGAGGGGCGAAAATACCTTCTTTGGATAGGCAGAAACGTGCACTTACTCACGTCGTCGGCCAAGCGCGGGATGGGGTCTCGTAGGATTTGATCTTCGCGCATAGGTATGTCTCTCTGACTCCACCTCATACCCTCTGTACCCTATACCCTCTTCCCCTCCGCCGTCTCGCTATTATTCGCGACATGGTCCACTGAGAGCCAGATTCTGACTTCACGCCGATAGGAACGACCTCGAGATGTTCAATAAATAGTCTTCCCTGGGAAATACGGAGGACATGCTCACCTTCGTAGACGGGCGAGAGCCTCGCCGTGCGGTGACGCCCGAAAGGCGCCGCCGTATATCGAAAACTCATCATTCACGACCCGCTCCCGACTTGGATCACCAGGTCCGTGTGCATGGTACTCATCGGGAAGGCGGCGCATCCGTTCATCCCGGAAGCGGTGAGTGTTGTTCGTTATCGGTGTTATAGGAGACACGGAAGGCTTCCTTCCTCTGTAAATCCTCCCATCGCCATGCTCTCGTCTTAAACCATTGACAGGATGATACATTTATGACAATCATATCATGCCATTGCTCATGCGTACATAATCCCACTCGTTTGTCATATTTTCCGTTAATCCTCGTCAGGCGCCGACTTTACTCGCCAGCTCTGTAATCCGGAAGCTCGAAGACTTCTTGCACGAGCCAGCCGCACGAGATTTAAGGGTCACTCGATATTATGTAGAGTTGGACTGCCAGTCCTTCATCGCATGTACTCGGTGAGCTACGCTCAAGGTCGGACAAGGCCTCGAAATAACGTGATCCTGCAGCTTCACACTTCGAGCAATGAATCAATGGCAAGCCGCTTGTGTCGCGTAAGGTTACAATATCCGCATACAACCATGGTAGCGCCTTCCCTGCAGTGTTTGCTTGTCAGACCTCGGGTTGTCCCAAATATCTGTCGCTATAAGGACCTGGGGTTGAATGGCGAATCCAAAAATTGTCCTTGGTACGGTTTCTAGCAATGGGTGAGATCGCGCCAATTAAGCTTCCCAGACTATCTCCCCTGCTGTGCGGCTCTGAGAAGGGCAGTCTGAACGTTATCGCACACGTAGTGTCTCCACTGAACCTTGTACTGAGTTTTGCGAGCTCGTGAACTCGTGGATCAGTGCAACAGCACCTTCTGAGTCGTGGTTTATCGAACGGGGATCCTTCCCACGTGCGCTGTTATCAGCGCTTTGTATGAGGCGAGCGCCTAATGGGCGCTAGTTCGAGGATCTCGATCGATGAGGCCGAAGGGCTTGCCCCGTGCCCTTCGTCGAAGCGTGTAGTATGCAAGCTATGCGATAGCAAATTTAGGTTTGTCTAATGTTGGACATCCCATAGCATACTCACAGCTGCTAACATGACCCGCGACCAGAAACTGTATAAGCGGGGTTGTATCTGTCTCATGTACATACGTCCAGATGGTGTGACAACACACAAGTCCTACAAGCCAGATCCATCAGCCTTACGCAGAATGAAACCCTACTGTTTTCAAGAACAAGTCTTACTTCATCACCACCCATGCTTAGTCCTTCTCATAGAGGGATTCCTACGTGTCAATGTGAGACTTGGTGTATGCGTCCGAATTTCCGAGGCTGTTGTATTAGCGAGGCGATGGCTTGCTTTATTTGGGTACAATCCACACGTTAAACAGGACGAGAGACGAGGGAGCGAGAGCGAGGACGCACCTGGCCACAACCCAGCCGGAATATCCAAACGACTAAGACCCGCGCTTGAGCCGCCGCTCGAGGTCGCGGATGGTTCTAGAAAGCGACGTTGAGCTCGCCGTATGTTAACATAAGACGTACTGTGCTCTTCGCGTTGACGTTTTCACATGCCCACGAGCAGGGACTCGTCACTGACGCAGAAGGTTAGGCCGGAGGCGGATGAGGTCCTGCAAAGTTTGGGAAATGGTAAGCACGCCGAACGAGTAACGGAGAAAGAACTTGATAAGAAAGATGAAGGAAGGAAGGAAGATCAGATACATACGCGGGGGGCCAGACAAGAAAGAAAGCCAATGCAAATAAACGGAACTCACGGTTGCATAGGTTAACCGGCTATCCCTCCGCCCACCTGCAGTGCACCTCTCAGCGGCCCGCGTTTTCCATCTGATCGCGATTTTTGACGTATAGTGAGCGCATGTATGTCATACTACCCGCAAGCATGTTCAAGATTTCTTCGCTTGAGGGTCTGCGGGTGGATGTTGACGTTGGCGTCACGCGCTGTGGTGTGCGATAGCAAAGTAGGAAAGGAGCAGCAGACCACATGGCTTCGGCCTACATATGCGCGAATGAATGATTGGGCTTAGTTGAGGCAACTAAACTGAAAAAAGACGAGAAAGAACGCACTGATCAGTGTATGCAAACGCCATGGGGGAGATTGATGTTGATGATGTAATATGATCCACGACGAGCAAGGGTTACAACCTCGCGCGTAGAGTACAGCGTATGAACAAGCTGCACGGCTCCTGCCTCGGTGATGAATTGATAATGATGGGTGGGGTACATCTGTGGATGTGGGGGAGGTAACTTGTCAGGCGAGAAAGGCATAGTTGACTATGGTCTCTGAGGGACACGATCGCTACTGGATTAGGATACTGAAGCAAGAGGACGGGTATCAATGACGCACCAAGCTTAAGCGTTTCGAGACTCGAGAGCTTCGGCATGCGAAACCTCGAGGGACTAGTGCCGGACTCGTGATGCTTGTCTTTGTGTTCTTTCCCGACAAGGGGCTCAGAGAGATGTGGGCATACTCTCCCGTAGATAGATCTTGGAAGAGCGCGGAAGATAATCGTCTCATATCACAAAGACGCGGGTCAAGAGATGTGAGCCGCCGTCGCTGGCTTTCAGAGAACGATGACGCCGTCGAGCGCGTCCAGCCGTGAGAATCCGGCATCCGGCCCGCACACATTCGGCGCTCCCCGGCTGACTCAGAGACTGCGCCGTTTGGTGTGCCCGACATGTCTGCCGTCCAAGTGTGTTTATGATTTATCCGATTTCATGTGTGCCCTATGATCGTGCCACAAACCCAGACCATCTCCCGTTGGCGTGAGCGTGTTTTTCCCAACCAATCCCTTTGACAAGTATCAGCCCAAGCCTCTCCGAGCGAGCGCTGAACAAGCTTGGATCGACAACATAACCATACACCCCGGGAATGCTTCTCCAGCAACACACACTCTCTCTCATCGTTCCGCGACTGTCGTTGGCTACTGCCCTGTTTACCTTCGGCTGGCGCGAAAGGTCTGTCTATGCGATTAAGATACATCCCCCCATTCCCACTAACACTATCGTGCAGCCTTCTGGTGCATCGATAACCCTTTGGCTTCCATATAGCACTGAATGAATGCCTCGAATGGCTAAATGCTCTTCACGCTCGCTCTTGCATAGGAACGCGACGCCTCAGCTGACGAGCCTCAAAACGTCATCGCGAAGCCCTGCATGCACTGCGCAGACCCCGATTCTCACCATCGTTGCATTGTTCACAGAATGAGTCAGGCTATGTTCAAGGACGTCTAATACGACGCGAAGTCAAGTAGGATGTCCACATTGTCAAGTTGCCTATCTCCACGCTCGCCTTCGTCACAGATAGGACGCCATCAATTCCTTATGGTCACGACACAGGCATCGTAGCGCCGCAAGCAAGCACATCCGACAAGATCATCGTCATTAGAAGGTTGGAGGCCGCTTATGAGAGGAAGAGTCATTCGGTAGTGGTATTGGAGGGTACTGGGTCTGCATATCCAGAGTGAGTCGACACGCTCCTCTTCCTTTCTTTGAGGTTCTACCGTTGACATTTGACCAGGGGATTTACGGCCCGCCCCATTGTTCCCCCCATTACATACACCCTCACCGCTATACTAGGTTGTTAGTGTTGGACCCAATGTCGGCCGTATCATCCAGCGCTGGGGTTTGCAGGACAAGTCAGTCTCTTTTCTCCGTTCCTCTATCAAAACCTTTAACCTCAGCTCGTAGATCCTTGCTAGGATATGGGAGCTACGCTGCCACGTCGACAAATTCGTCCTGCATGACTACCTTGGCGAGATCACAAGCGAGCAGCCGCTGCCGCAGCCCCTTTGGCGCACAGGGGAGTACGACGAGCATCGTGCGGAAATGCACCATGTTATCTGCCAGTACGCCGTCTCGCTCGGCATTGACGTCTGGTCAGGCGCAATACGCAGGAGTACTATGAGGACGAGGCGAGTGGTAAGGTTTGGGTAAGGGTGGATGCGAAGCGGGAAGTGATGTGTTTGGAGGCGGATCCGGTCACTGCTGCGGATGGAATGAGGAGTAGGGCGGGGAAGTATATTCTGGTGCGTTTATTTTTGCTACCTAGGCTAAGGTCGTTGGCCGATAAGACGTGCGTGACTTATACAAGGATACGACGACAAGCCGAAGTTGTCCTGATACGCCGTCTACCGCGTGTGGTTCAACGGGCAGGAACAGGGCATCGGCACGGATCCGCTGACGGACTACCTCACAATGGCGAAAGACGCGTTCTTTGGTTGGATCGGCAGGGGCTTGCACTTCCTCGCGTCGTCAGCCAAGGGCGGGAAGGAGATCTCGTGGGTCATTACGCGCAAGTACGTCTCCCAAAGCCTATTCTCTATTCTCTATTCTCTTCACCTCTATTCTCTCCCCCCCTTCCACTTTCCGCCTACCCCACTCATCCACAGCGAGAGATACTCATGTCACTGCAACAGGAACGACTGGTGCTTCTCAAGCAAGATGGAGGACTTGCATGCCATCGTCAATGGTTGGGACCCCCACTGCACTGCGACTCTCGCTAGAGTGTCATCGTGCATCAACTGGAAGCTCATCATCCACCATCCGCTCCCGACGTGGGTTAGCAAGTCTGCAAGGGTGGTGCTTATCGGGGACGCGGCGCACTCTTTCCTTTCGTAAGTCCATCTCTTGTGACCGTTCAGCGCTTGTAGTAATGGAGAGAAGTGCTAAAATGTGGTAAATAGGACAAAGTATGCAAGGCGGCTCGCAGGCGACCGAAGATGGATTCGTTCTCGCAATCGCTTTTCAACGCGCGGGGAATGACATCCTTCCGCTCGCAATTTCAAGCAGGCAGAGGATCCGGTGAGACTCATATCTTTCTGATGCTCTCCTCTCTTTTCCTTTCACCCCACACCCTATACCTTTACCATCACTCACTTTCCGCACTTCCACACAGATACCTCCGCGTACGTGAAACCCAGCTCATCGGCGAAGATGTCCACAACCGGTGGCATCACTGCCAGCCAGGCGACCGCGGGCCGATGCTCGATGTAACCCGGCCCGAGTGGCCCTTCGCGTTTGACGCCGAGGCGGACGTGTCCGAGGTCTTCGACGGCGCGGCGAGGGATATAAGGGAGAACGGATACAACAGGCCTGTTTTGCCGCCTGAGCCTGCGCCGTGATCGGGATGCGGGATGCATGATTTGTTTCATGGTGGGGATGAGTGAAACATACGAGGTGTTGAGTGCTCGTGCGTCGTTGTTGATAATGGGTATTGCTGTTGCAGCTCACTGTATGATTCTGGGATCCCTGAATGTTACTTGCTGACTGTGGCGTTCCTCAGACTGGCCCGTAACCTCTGTCGCTACTAGAAATGGCGCTACGTGAATACGGCTTCACCCTGGCGTTGTTCAGAGACAGCAGTGGTCCCGAAGATCACGGTTGTTCTCGCCGGTTATAGGTATCAAGCTAAGAGTCATTATAGGCTCATGAGTGGAGCGTAATGGAGCGCCGGCCCTGGGCTGTGCGGAAACCTTCTATATGATCCTTCGCAACATATAGCCCGTCATAAACAGCTGTTAAGCTATTGGCCCCAGGTACGCTTGTGAATGCTCATATTCCCTGTTTATTTCAGTGCCGACAAAAGGCACCTCCTAAGCGATACGTTTCACGAATAGCCAGCCTACAGGAATTGCACGGCTCAAGGAAGCCCATTGCTGTCAATGTCCTGCCCCAAGCACCCCCAAACGCCTCCGTCCCATCGATCGCATGTGTTTGCCTGAAACGCGTTGGCTCCTTTGCACCGCAATCTGTGAAAATACGACAAAGATAACATACCTCGCACTGCCCTATATTCCTGCTGTATGTATCGCCCCGTATCCTGTAAATGCTTTCTGATCGCCAAAAATAATACAGTTCAGTGATAGAGTTGACTGCATGGAGCCAAAAGGAGCAACCCCGAGCGGAAGAACAGAAAACATACAGGATGGATATGTTAGGCGGCCAAGTTGGGCGTGTGTTCTGTTTGGAAGCGGGATAGTGTACGTGTCATGTCGACATACAGCCTTGATCCAGTCCTTTGGCTCTTCTTATTTCTACTGAATATTTGAACTCTCTCGCTCCAGAACGCCTGTCGCTGTTCTGACTTTGCTCATCGCTGCTGAAAGACCTGTCATCGCAACGACTGGGCCCACAAGCGTCCCCACATTGGTTTTATGCAGAAGATCGATCCCAGGTGACGCCACTGCCACCACCTGTAAAGGTGGACACGGCTATGGAATCGGCCAGATGAGACCCTCGTTGCAGGCTTAGCAAACATTCACTTCCCTTCACATTGCTGACTTGACTGACCACAGCACCTCGTGTATGACATCTCGTTCACAGCATCCATTGATCTCGGGCTCTTGCTACTTATCAGAGAAGAGCGCCTCTAGTTGAGTTGCCGCTTCTCAGCGCCTAGTGTGCAGTGCATGGCACTGATTGGAGACTAGTTCTTTCACTCGTATTGATAGGGTGAGCTATCTAATCTAATCGTATCTTCAAACTTATGACACGAACGGTGTGGTTGTGTTTGGTTGCGGCTCCTGTCGGCCCGCACGTTGCCCGCTTTTGAATGTCCCCTGTTTTCAGAATGTAGGTCGGTAGTGGTTCTATACTTCAACGCGAGTCCCTTTGTGGCGCTGCTGCTGCGTACGCGTTGAACCTTTTATTTTGAATGATGTTCGCCCCTTTAGCGTCCCTTCACAGAATATGACAAGAGTTTCTATACAATCTTTTCTCGATACTCCTGTACGCAACCTCCGATGTTGTGCCCATGTTCACCCTGTTTTAGATTATAAATGCTCGACCGAATTGTGCTAAAGTCTCTTTTCCGCAGTTATTCGCTATTCTATGGGTTAAGACCCAGTGTACATTCAGTTGGGCATCGATGTCCCTCAGACACCACTCCTTACTAGCTACTATGTTTAACGGTTTAAACCCCTTACACCCGTCTTTAGGTATAAAACAGGGCCACCCGTCTCCTCAACCTGTCAGTTTCCGTTGTTTCCCTATTTGCTTTCTCCGAGGTCTGCGTAGTCCGTCCCCGCCGTCGTTCCTTTTGGGAGACTCTTGCACACTCTTCCTAGCGTCCGAGCCCTTCAAATACCCCGGAGACGCCGTCGCGCCCATCTCATTAATAGCTCGAGTCCCACGCATGCACGTCCACCCCATCTGCCACCGAGGTTGCTGTGCTACCATGATGACACCCCCGGAAAAGCTGGCATATCCTCCGTCTATGAGGGTGACGCCAAGGTTGTGTTGCTTGAGAAGATATGCTGCGCACTCGAAATTATCTTATCATGGACCTCGAAAAACTGAGCCAGGCTGGCGCTGCGACGCAGTTGAGGCTGCCTAGGCGGGGGTTCTGGCCCACCCAGTGTATTCAACTTCGTCGTGCTCTCACATGCGACCATTGTCACTGTCTCACGTTCTGCTCGGGCATCATTTTTGCGCGGAAAGATGCCTCTTGGGCCCCTCCTGCTTGCGCGTATTTACCCACGTTTGAAGATGGGATGCGCAACGTTGAAAACGTACGTATGTGCTGTGCCCCTCCACTGAGACAGATGAAATTGCGCATGGTTTCAAGATACTTCTCGTTCGGGCAAGGGCATCCCACCACATGCGATACAACAGACAAGGGGATTATCGCATTCATTTTCATGTCATAAGAGGGTATGATCTTGCGAACCGACTAGCTGCATTATCTTATCACTTTTCCACTCAACACTTTCGCCCTCATTTCCATCACACTCAAACTCGGTTCATGCCTTCTGCTAACGTGTTTAGTGTGTTTGTCACCCGCGACGGAGTTTCATGCTCCACCGGAACTATCGTTTGCACCAAAAGCTTCGAAGAGCAATTCGAGCCCGTAGCTATTGACTGTTCGTTGGATATTTCAGCAGATTCTTTTTGCCACATGCAAGAGAACATAACTGTCAACCAGAGTCTCAGTCGGTCCACTCATGTTGAACTTGAACCGGCTATTACGAGAGCGCTTCTCGCGGCCAGGTATGACTACGCTATCTTTCGTGCAATCTCATTTAACTTCCCCTCTCAGATCATTAAACTTGATGTAATTTGTCGAAGTCAAATGTACAGTATTATTGTCCATGTATTAAGTTAAATAGCCTGCATGAAAAAATACTTCGACGACGTGTGACTACACCTGTACAGCGTGGGGACGGAGCGTTTACGCGACGTCGTGTCTTGTCTTAGTCCACCCTCGTGCCCTGCAATGGAATACGCGGGCATGGTGCCTTTCATCATCGCACACGTTCTGATCAGAATACAGCTAACGTCGCGCTCGCCTCCGTGCTCCTGCCGTCTTCATATTACATATGCGGCGACGTGCTAATTGTCCCCTCCCTTTTCACCTATAACAACCCAATCGCTCGCCCACAGAGTACCCAACCCAAACTTAAAGACACCCATCCGCAAATTGATCCCTCGTATTCCGTCTCAGACTCGAAGCATCCAAACTTTTCTCGTTCTTCGCCATTTTGCCCCTTGCCCACCGGCTGTCAAGGAATATCTGCAAAAGCTCGGCAGTTTCTCTCTGCGGATAGACTCGCCCTCGGTTAAACGCCGAAACCCCCAAGACATCCCTCCGTTCCCTTCTCCCCCCTCCTCCGTTTCACAGGTTTTTACAGGTCACTCGCAAGATACTCAAGATAGCTCGAGGTTTTTTTTACAGGTTGACTTGCTCTAGGACGGTCACCGGAACCTCAAGATATCTCGTTTCCCCTTCTTTTTCCTTTACAGCCCTCTACAGGTTACGCGCGAGATACTGCAGATAGGCTTCAGCGTTTCTTTTACAGGTTATCGTCTCAGTCTTTGACGTACATCGAATTTACCCATACGTCTTCCTCTCACCGTGCTTCACTTCCCACCGATCTCTGCTTACCTACTGGTCTTGCCGAGTGAGCTTTACGAACCGTTGTCCCAGCCACAGTCGCGCTTACGCTCGCAAAAAGCAACACCTTGCAGTCATGACCGACCAGGCTCGCCTTGACGGCGCTTGGCAAAAACTCGACGACATTTGCGTTCACTCCGCCCAATTCGACTCCTCTGAGCGTCAGCCGTTCTCCCAGTGCCTCGAAGGTACTCGCGACCGTCTCCTCGACACCCTCCGCACCGCCATTAGAACCGAGAACAAGAAGATCATCTGGCTCTCCGGCGAGTCCGGATCCGGCAAGTCCGCTGTGGCCTACACGCTAGCGCAGGAACTCCACACCAGCGGCGTGCTTGCGGCGTCATTTTTCTTCTCCCGTCGCCACCCCGCTCGCAGTACATCCGACAGCTTTATTCATACGATCTCATATCAGCTTGGTGTCCACCATCCACTTGCCAAAGAGATCATCACTAAGGCGCTGGTCGATGATCCCTCTCTGCTTAAGCCGGAACGCTCGCGAAACGAGCAGTTTGTTCAGCTCGTCCTCGAGCCATTGAGGGCGCTCAAATTTGTTTGGAGGGATGCGAAGATGATAGCTATCATGCTTTTTGATGCACTCGATGAGTGCGAACCGGGCGAGAACAATCATCGTCTCCGTGAGCTAGTTGACCCATTTGTCAAGGCACTTCAAGACGAAGGCATAGCTAATTTCCATGTGGTGGTAACGAGTTGTCCCTACTCTCATATTCAGGACGTCTTGGCTAGGCCGACCCTTGTTTTACCGTACGTCATGGAGGAATTTGACGCCAGAGATGATATTGAGCTCTTCCTGAAAACGTCTTTCGATGATATCAGCCGTGTCCCTCACTTCTCTCTTCCAAAGCCATGGCCATCATACGCTGACCTCCAGCTCCTTGTGGATCGGGTGTCTCGTCGATTCATCGTTGCTTCAACAATTGTCAGGCTGCTAAAACAGAAGCAACCATTCGGCATGCGGCGATTTCTCAATACGCTGTTACAGAAGCAACAGTTAACCAGCAATATCGACGAGCTATACCGTCATGTCATTGACTCGTCAGGGCACAGTTCGGCCGGCACGTCTCTACTTGTCCGCATCTTATCTCTGCACAAACCACTATCCGTCGGTGACCTCTCTCCCCATCTCCTTGTTCGCGCTCGTCGTCACGGCGCCAAAGAAGAAGGCACGGACATGACATGTCCGGCCCTCGCGGCGTGTCAGCGCTCACCAGGAGAGACTGTGGAGACTTCGAAGCGACAGACACTGGTCCTTCCCGGGCAAGATGGAGGATGTGCTCGCCATCGTCGATGGCTGGGAGCCGCTGTGCAGCGACGCTCGCGAAAGCGCCGTCGTGCATCGACTGGAAACCCATCATCCACGATCCGCTCCCGACATGGATAAGCAAACCTGAGAAGGTAGTGCTTATTGGAGACGCGGCGCACGCATTCCTCCCGTAAGTCTGTCTTTTGTGGCCGTTCAGTGGTTTTACTGGAGAGAAGTGCTAACATTCAGCGAATAGGACAATCGTGCAAAGCGGCTCGCAGTTCAAGCATGGGAGAAGATCCGGTGAGCCTCATTCTTTCCTCTCTCCTCCTCTCCTTCGCTCTCCATCCTCTCTCGTATCCCCGCGCCGTCGCTCACTCTCCACGCCCCCATACAGATATCTCCGCATGCGCGAATCCCAGCTCATCGGCGAAGACGTTCGTAACTGGTGGCATCGCTGCCAGCCGGGCGACCGCGGGTCGATGCTCGACTTGCCTCGGCCCGAGCCGCTCTTCGTGTTCGATGCGGAGGCGGACGCGTTTGAGGTGTTTGAAGGCGTCGCGAAGGGTATCGGGGAGAACGAGTACAGGAGGTCGGTGTTGCCACCTGAGCTTGCGCCGTAAGCGGGATGCAGGACGCTGTGCGGATGGGGCTCATAGAGCTCGTGCGCGGACATCGGTTCCGAGTGTCATTGTAGCAGCTTGGCGAGGATCCCGGAAATCTCTGAACGTTGGTTTCTGATTCTGTATCGCTCCTCAGACTTGGCCCGAAACCTATTTTGTCACTGGAAAGAATCAGGTATGAATAAGGCAGATCAGTGTGCTCGAGGTTGATCGATCATCCATTCACAATTCAGACTCTGTCCGCCATCTGTTCAGTTGGGAGCGCTCACGAAGATGACAATTGCTCTCGCCGCCTCATGCTTACGCTAACTGCCATGTGAGTGAAGTGTGATGAAGCGCCGGTGCTGTGTTCTGCAGCGACCATTCGTAGAACCCTGGTGGTCACTTCCACGACCCAGTGATTCTAGGTTCGCCTGGCGGTCCGCATATTTCTTGCGCTTTACACGGCTGACACAGTCTCGTCCCAAGGCGATCAATTCCGCAACTTTCCGGGCCACAGGAGCTACACGTCGTAAGAAAGGCCAATGCTATCAATGACTTTCCCCAAGTTCCGACAAATGCCTGCGACTCGTCAATCGTGCATGCTTACCCAAGCCACGCTGGCTCCTGTAATGAAAGCATGGCAAGGACCAGCGCACTTGCACACTGTCCTATGCTCACGTCGTATGTATCGCCCCGTACCCTGTCAGTGCTTTCTGATCGCGAAAAAGTAATACAGATCTATGATGATGTTGATTGGATGGAGCCCAAGGAGCGATCCCGGATAGAAGAGCAGAACCATACAGGATGGATAGGTTAGGCGCTCAGATTGGGCGTGTTTTCCGTTTGGGAGTGGGTGGAAACCCGCCAAAGCGGGAAACACTGAATTCGGACGACGAGTGAATAGGACGACGATGTGATTCGTAGAGAGACGGATACAGGGAGAGTACTAGGAGAGTAGGAGAGCTAGTAGCTAACGAAAGTGGATATCGTACGAGTCTGCATATAAAGGGAAAACGAGAGGCTATTCCAAGAGGGACGTATCGAGAAGGTAGAAAGTCATGGGCGAGGTATCGAGTAGTCGAGATGCCGAGGAACGACGGAAGTAAATTAGAAGCAAATTGAAATGTCGATCGAAGCAGTTGTGCAAAGGTGAAATGTGATCGGTGTGGAGCGATCGAGGCGGTCGAGGCGGAGTCTGAGATCGCCGCGGATGTGGCGTCATAGTGTCGTCGTAAGCCGGCGGGCTTACAGTGGGATAACGTACGTGTCGTGTCGACATACAGCCTTAATCTATTCCTTCGGCTCTTCTGATTTCTGCTGAATACTTGCACTCTCTCGCTCCAGAACATTATGACTTTGCTCATCTCCGCTGAAACCATGTTATCGCTACGACTGGGCCTACGGGCGTTCGTACATCGACTCTATGCGGAAGATAGACGATAGGTGATGACGCTGCCACCGCTTGTCAAGGTTTACACAGCTATGGAATCGATGGCCAGATGAGACCCTCGTTGCAAGCTTAGCAAACATTCACTTCCATTCCCATCACCTGCCTTGGCTGACCACGGCACCTCCTGTATGGCATTCCGTCCACAGCATTCATTAATCTCAGACCCTTGATATTTATCAGAGAAGAGCGCGCCTGGTTGAGTTGCAGTTTCTCAGCGCCTACTTTGCAGTGCATGGCACTGATTGGAACCTGCCTCCTGCATCCATATCGATAGGGTGAACTACCTTAGTCCACCCTCGTGCCCTGCAATGGAATATGCGGGCATGGTACCTTCCATCATCGCACATGTTCTGATCAGAATACAGCTAACGTCGCGCTCGCCTCATTCCCTTGCCTCCTTCCTACTTTACGGCGACGTGCTCTTTGTCTCCTCCCCCTTCCCCCTCCAACAACCCACCAGATCACCCACAGAGTACCGAGCCCAAACTTGCAGACATCCATCCGCAAATTCATCACTCGTATTTCACCTCAGACTCGAGCATTCAGACCTTTTTCGTTCTTCGCCGTTTCTCCCCGTTTCTCCGGCTTCCAACGATCATTTGCAAAAGCTCGGGCGTTTCTCTCTGCGGATAGACTCGCCCTCGGTTAAACGCCGGGATCCCCAAGACATCCATCCATCCCCTGCTTTCCCCCTCCTCCTTTTCGCAGGTTTTTACAGGTTACTCGCAATATACTCGAGACAGCTTGAGGTTTTTGTACAGGTTGACTTGCTCCGGGACGGTCACCGGAACCTCAAGACGTCTTGCTTCCCCTTCTTTTCCCTTTACAGCTGTTTACAGGTTACGCGCAAATCACTGCAGAAGGGCTTCGGCGTTTCTTTCACAGGTTACCCTCTCAGACTCTGACGTACATCGAAATTACCCATACGTCTCCTTCTCACCGTGCTTCGCTTCCCACCGATCTCTGATACTGGTCTCGCCAAGGTGAGTGTTACGAACCATTGTCCCAGTCCCAGTCGCACTTACGCTCGCACGAAGCAACACCTTGCAGTCATGGCCGACCCAATCCGCCTAAAAGCTTGGCAAAAACTCAGCGACAGATGCGTTCACTCCGCTCCGTTCGACTCTCCTGAGCGTGAGCCATTCTCCCAGTGCCTTCCAGGTACTCGTGTTGATCTCCTTGACACCCTCCGCACCGCCATCGGAACCGAGAACAAGAAGATCATCTTGCTCTTTGGCGAGTCCGGATCCGGCAAGTCCGCTGTGGCTCACACACTAGCGCAGGGGCTCCACGCCAGCGGCGCGCTTGTGGCGTCATTTTTCTTTTCCCGTCAGCATGCTATTTGTAGCAACGACGACCGACTCATACCCACCATATCCTACCAGCTCGGTCTCTGTCATCCACGTGCCAAAGAGGTCATCATCAAGGCGCTTCTTGATGACCCGTCTCTTCTTAAGCTGGCACGCTCGCGAGACCAGCAGTTCACGCGACTTGTCCTCGAGCCTCTTAGAGAGCTTTCCATGATGTGGAAGGAAAAGGGTCTGACAGCAATCATGTTGTTTGATGCACTCGACGAGTGCGAGCCGGGTTACCGTAATCGACGCCTCGGTCAGTTGGTTGACTCCTTCGCCCGGGTGCTTGAAGATAAACGAACAGCCAACTTTCACATCGTGGTAACTAGTCGCCCTTACTCGCGTATTGAAGACGCTCTGACTAAGCCCGCCCTCGTTCTACGGCACGTCATGGAGAACTTTGACGCCAGGGACGATATTGAGCGCTTTCTCAAATCGTTTTTTGACGATATCAGCCGTGCACCCTACGTTTCCCTTCCGAAGCCTTGGTCATCGCCTGCCAACCTTCAGCTCCTTGTTGATAGGGTTTCCCGCCGATTCATTGTCGCCGCGAAGATCGTTACATTCATGGAACAAAAAATTGAACGCCCATCCGACATGCAACAGTTTCTCGAAGCGCTGTTACGGACGCAGCAGCTAACGAGCAACGTTGAGGAGCTATACCGTTATCTCATTCCCTCATCTGACCAGGCGTCGAAAGGGACGTCTCTCCTCGTGTACATCTTGACATTATGCGAGCCTTTGCCCATACTCGACATCATGCGCCTTGTTCAGTACGACGCCCGTCCAGTACTTGATTCGTTGGCTGCCATTGTCTACGTCCCACCTATCAACTCAGCTGAACCTGTCAAACCATATCATACATCGCTGCGCGACTTCCTCTGGGATGAAGCTGCTCACTATAATCTCACTTGCGATTGTTTAGAGCTCATGGGCGGGGCGCTCATCAAAAACATTTGTGGTTTTGATGATGCTTCACATTTACACTTGAACGAAATCGAGGATTTTGCAGCCAAAAGGGACGAGGCAGTTACTCCAGCCCTGGCATACGCTGCAAAGTACTGGCTTCACCACATTTGTAAATCATCACCCGACCCTAGATTACAAGATCTTCTTTCATCGTTTGTCAAGGGGCACATGCTTCATTGGATTGAAGTAGTTTCCTTGACAGGCGCCTTTGATCACTGCGTTGCCGCCCTACTTCAAGCAGTTGGACGCATTAACGTAGGTCGACAATTGCCCGATTCTCTGAATTTTCTCCGTTGCTCAATATATACCTTTTAATAGACCTGGACGACAATGCCGGATAAAGGGAAAACTATCGATCTTTTGAATGACACGTATCAACTCATGACCAACCTCAAGTGCATCACCCAAAATGCCCTACATGTCTATCATAGCGCCCTACCACGGTGTCCAATAAATGAGGCGTGGGTGTCATTACCTTGCAGAACACGCAGGCAATCAGGAGGGGGGCCCTTTTGCAGAATTTGTCACGGCGGGGCCAGTGATAACAGGATTCTCCGCCGTGACAGATTCTGCAAGATGCGCTCGAGCGCATCCCCCGCTCAACCTGTGATTGTTTCGGCAGAGATTCTGCAGTACAGTCCACGACCCCCCGGGTTCTACCGAACGGGCGACAGCAATCGAGTCCGGCGCGTCCCGAGCTGTCATCCCGTCCACATTGGCAGCGATCATGCAATAGTATTACGCCGGCTTCCCCCGCGCCTGCGTGAACGCGATTGCCAGCGATTGTGCAATAGTATCCCGCCGGCTTCCCCCCGCCCGGATGAATCAGGACCCCCGAATGCCCCTATGGGAGTCCGAGGTTGGCCCCGACCCTCGCCCCGGGTAGTTGTTGCTCTGGGTACCCCCTTGACCCCGGGTTTTCTACCCTGGACATAGGCTTGGAGGCGGACCAAACTAGACTCGTAACCAGTCGCCCATGCGCGTGCCTAATAAGGCAACGAACCAAGCGGTTCTCGCGTCAGGGATGGGACAAAATGTCGACTCGCTGGCAGGCGACCGACGGAGTTCGAAAATTGGCGGATGGGAACGGATTGGTAAGGGCTTCGCGAAGCCGGCATCGTGGTGCCGACGCGATCGCCTGCGGTAATCTAATCTTAGGTCAAGGGTATTAAACGCGTCCACAGACGCGTCCTAGGTAGTAGCTCAATTGTAACACCATCGATTTCTTGTGCTGCCCCTCCCTGCGTGAATCACTCGCATAGCGCCGTACTGAGGTTATAGTTTCCCCTATGCTCAGGCGACTGCTCGACTGCTCGACTAGGACTTGAATTAGCTAGGGACTCTTACTATAAAATCAAGAATGAATCAATTTCTACATGCTGTCTCGGAGGCTGGGCTCAAAGCGATTAATCTCGTCTACAAAGAGGACTTTATTACTTTCAGGAGAGAAATAGATCAACACGGCTATGGAAATTATAGTGAGAAAAATGTCTATGTTGGTGATAGACTTACTTGTCAAAATCATAACTGCTGACCCGGATGGGTATCTTGAGAAATTGCTCTGGTTTTGTGCAGGAGAGAGCTCTCAGCCACCTCTGGGATGTCATTCTAACTCTCAAAAGATGGAAAGCTTGAACCTAGATGACTATCTCAGTTATGTACACACTCACTATTGTCGTTAACTTGAAAGAAATGGAGCATGCGTCTCAGCCAAGCTCTTTCTCAGACCTACAAAGGGCATCACTCCCGAGAGCTTGGATCTCAACAAGGAACACTGCAGTCAAGTGCAGGAGGTCATGCAAGTAACCATTGATCTGGCTGCTTTCCTTGTACAGCATCTGCAAAAGCAAACAGATGAGCTTTAGGCTCAGGAATTGACTTTGGTACTGGCCTGGCTTGTTATTCTGCTGTTGTTTTTCTATCTAGCCATACTCCATCCCAGCGCGCACAATTATGTGCTTGAATGCTAGGTGATTAACTGCAGCTTCACTTCAGTCACCCCGGGTATCCACCCCTATAAGGTGTGTTTCGCCCACCTAAATTCTGTACCTGTAAGGTGCTCACCCGCCCTGTTATTCCCCAGCGCGCCTGGAAAATCTAGATGAAGCCCCTGGATACTCCTCAAGACAACATGATTACTCCCAAGGTGTCACAAGAAAGAGAGATTGGAGGCAGAATGTCCAGATGGAGCAATATGCCGTCAGTGGAATGTCCACAGACAAATGTCTGTTATCAGGGCGGGGATATCCATGAAAATGGATATACCAGCAGTGAGCTTACACGAGGAGTGGATGTCCAGGGTGTCCAGGGTCCTGATATATTTAAGTAGTTAAATCAATAATTTGCAAAACCTACTAAAATAATGCAACAATATGATCAATCATATCTATCTACAGCAGCAGTCTACTATACTACACGATTTGGATAAGAAAAGAAAGTATACCACAAACACAGCACCACAGATATCAGAAGCATCCTACTTAAGCTATCTATATGGCGCCAAGTCCACCCATAACATGAAAGACGCCAAAGGCACAGCATCAACCTCATGCACTTTCCTAAGAACATCACCCATCTCGTGATATGAAAACATTTGTTCTTCCCCATAATCTCATTCCAATGACAGCAGCCAAAATAACTCTTCAATTCATCTACAACTGCCAAAGGACCTCCCCCAATTTAGACGTAGGATATCCCAGTGTATGAATGGAGTATCCTACATACGGCCTGGACAAACAAGAACAGCACATATCAATCAATGTGGCACACACAAATATAAGTCTTACATAGAGGGAGTATTCCAACGCCTCGCTGGATACCCCAGGGACTGTACATCAATGGTCCAGAGTGGATATCCACACTGGGGGACACAGAAGATATTGCTAGACGGGTATCCCCGGCTCATGCGGATAACCCAGTGTGACCTAATACCATATGGTGGATGGTCCCTACACACGTGGATATCTGGCGCGGGACGTCCACTGGGCAGCCTGCAAATTCCAAGGCCACACATATGCCCTACAGGATATCCTCATGGATGATACATTGTAAACGACTTGACTACTCACCAGCCGGCGGGATATCCAGGTGCCTAGTGAACGTACAAATTTGGCGTGGTCATTCCACATGACCATACCTACTACTAGGCTATCACCAAGCCAAGTTTATCCTACTTGACCGCGGGGTCCCTTGGTGGACGTCAGCACCAAGAGTCATCTAAGGACACACACATTTGCAAGTCCACCCATGCATACAAGGATATTCAATGCCGACCCAATATCCACCCTGGATATCCACGTGTTACGTGAAATGTCAGCGTGGATGACTATGCGTCACTTGGGGACCGTCGGCATGGGTAACCATGCACTAAGTGAAACGTCACCGTGGATAACCAATGCTGATCCCAACGCCACACAATATCCAATGTGGATATCCATGGGACGCATGGATAACTATGCGCTAAGTCAGCTGTCGGCGAGCACACCCACGCGCTCAGTGGGACGTCACACCCATCCAACGTGGATATCCACGGCACGCATGGATAACTATGCACTAAGTCAGCCGTCGCCCAGGATAACCACGAGTTCAGTGGGACGTCACACCTTGGATAACCACCCCGGTATGTCTTAATCAGTATGGTGCATGGAGGACTACCATTACACACCATGGACTTCGACTACATCCATACACAACCCATATGGGATACACCAACTACAGAGATCCCTGCAAGGCCCACACGGGATTATCCAATGCACTAACGTGGATAACCACTGCGATAGATCTAGTAGTCACAAAGAATGACCTAGACATGATGATTATCCACTACACGGACTATAACATTCAAATATGACACACCAACCTTCCATGAACACCCTATAGGGATCTAGTTGATTATCCCCGTTAATACATGGATATCCCCACCTATGCACTTCACACTATGACGAATGTGTAACTCAGGGCTTTAGCCCCACACCGGTCATTCATCACAACACGATACACTCAGCATGAACATCAATAAATAAAGGCTGGATGCCTGGATACCCGCCCGTAATAACTTTGATGCACAGCACCACCACATTCACATACATAATACGCACCCCCACTCTACCTCTTGCCCACATCCGATACCATAAACGAGAAGAACTACGTGGTCATTAATACCTATATCTTGGTTGCTTGTGAGCACGCGAGGACTCGGTCCTTGGATCCCTGAGAAAATGGATGAATATAGCACACTAGTAGACATGAGTCATTGTCACTCACGGAGAACGCCTACGGCGCGAAGGGCGAGGGGAAGACTCGCTAGCAATACAAATCAGTATACGCCAGCACCGAGTTCATGGCAGAATCTTACCGTATTGGCCCCGGACTCTGGTCGCGATGGGACCGGTGGTTGTCAACAACAGGCTGGTGATGGCGGGACGGGCCGGCGCCCTGATCCCTTTGACGAGACGGGCCGGCGATTTGACGGGACGACGCAGCGACCTGACGGGACGAACCAGCGACCTGACGCGACGGCCCGGCGACTTGATCGAGATAGTGGGAGCGTGATGATGTAGGGCCGTTGTCATGACAGTGCGCACGCCGATCCTGATGAGTGTGGTGGTCGCGGGAAGATGACGAAATTGCAGTTCGCGTGCGTGAAGGCCCCGCCTCCAGTACGTTGCGCGACGTGCTGCATGACGAGTGTACAGTAAGCAATACAATAGAAGACACCAATGTACTTGACTCACTATGTAACACATGGGTTCCGTGCTCGCGATGAAGAACTGGCGACACTGAACCACTGGTGTCAATAATCAAATATGTGAGACAGACATACAACGACACGCACTAATTACCTCGAACGTCGTCCAGAGGTCGGAGAGATGACGGAGAGACCATGCGATCTTGAAGGTGGCTGACATAAGGAGGTGGAGGTGTCCTCTCATCGGTAGTGGGATTGGCCCGCTGGGCAGCGGAAGGAGATCGTCGACGAACTCGGGGAGTCTCATCCACAACCATAGGTGACAGGGGCGGTAGCAGGCTCGCATAACGCACCTCTACAGTGTCAGGCGACACTCGTGCTTGGGAATGATTTGGCTCCTGGCGGCGCCCCAAGTAGATCGGTTCGTCCGAATCTGATGATGGTATTGTGATGACGCCCCTATCCACCCCCCGAGAAGGCTGAGGATCTCGGCGACGGGGTGGGGGACTCGGTCGCGCAGCAGGGCGTGCCACTGTTCTTGGCTGACTTGGAGGAGGTGAAGGAGGTATGACGCGTGCACGGGTGTGATGCCGAGGAGGGGGCGAGGGCAATATGACACGCGTTCGGGGACGTGGGTGCGGCCTGTCGCGCACTGGTGCAGGGGACCTCACACGAGCACGGGGAGGTGGCAACGGAGACCTGGCGCGCGCACGGCGAGGGGGCGGCAAAGGAGAGAAATTACGAGCGTGGAGCGGGGGGGAAGGCGACATAGTGACGCGTGAGCTAGGAGGCGGGGATGCAGACATTGCATACCCTCGCGGCGGCGGAGAAGGCGATGGAAGACTAAGAGGGGGCGTAGGCGATTGCTGATGGGGAGAAGGCGATCTCTGGCGACGAAGCGGAACTTGCGTACTGGGACCCAAGACCACATTCGTACGTTCTGCGCTGAGCTGGCTTGCCCACACTTTGACGCGTCCATCTTGACCGACGACCAGGGGAACACGGTGGTCTTCATTTCTGCTTAACAACGCCCTCTCATCTAGACACCAATTAGCCGCTATGCCAAGCGCGCGAGCGTCAAATGACTCACCATCAGTCATTTCCACGACTTGCATCACCACGGTGCTCTGCAACTTCGGCCCATCGTAACCATACTTATTCTTGACCTTTCCATCCTCCGTGGTGACGTCACCAAAGTTGTTCTCGTCATCTTCATCGTCGTCGTCTGGCGGGACATTGACCCCGCTCGCCTCTAAAGCGGCCCGCGCCTTGGACCTTGCATCGCGGTACCACTTCTTGTGCAGCTGCAGCATCCATGGACCGACGAGTGGCGCCAGCTCGTGAAGTCCGAGTTGACCAGGCTGGAAGATACCAGGGAGCGGGACACCGGCGGGGTAGTTGATACATTTGAGTTTGTTGTCGTAGAGTATGCCCCGATAGCCGAGCCATGTCATCTTGCGTCTCCCGATGGCAGTCTTCGGGTCATTATCGCCAATAAAAGTGATCCCAAAAGGCGCTACAAGATTGCATCAGGACAACAATCAATATCATGATAACGTGACAGTACACTCACCCAGGTAGGTAACCAACTGGACTCGAGCCAGACGCCGCAGACGGTCGTGCTTGCCCTCCTTGTGCCCACTTTGAAGAACCGTTTTGAGTCGGGCGTCTTCATCCTCCACGAGGGAACCAGGAAGTGGTATTGTTGGTGTCTCATCCCCGCAAACCTTGGCTCTGGTGAAAGGGGTATGAGGATCAATCAGCAGGCCAGACGGAAAACATGAACCATCACTCACTCAATAAGGTGCTTGACATTACGAATGATGGCTTGAACATTCGCATGTTCAGAGCTGATGAGGTCCTCGACGATCTCGGATCCCCCCCACGCTTGATTGAGGCACCTCGGCGACGCCTCGTCAGTGATAGTAATGGTGAACCCTCCGACAAAAATGCCGAAGAGGCAGTAATACACAGCCGCCTACGTCAGACAATGAGCTCTAGTAACACGACGACCAATGTGAGACACGTACCGCTCTGCTAAACTCCTTAACACACTGGTCCACCACCGCCATGTGATCGTCGCTGGACATGGTATTCGGATTGCGCTGCTCTGACCAGTATGACAGGATGGGCTCCCATACCTCATGTTCTTCGTCGAAAGCACATTCGTCCTCCAGCGCTTCTGGGTCGTCGACTTGGACGGTGGACCTTTCGACGCGAGAGTTGTAGTCGGCTGTGCAACGCGGGCGCGCGTCATCGGGCGACTCTGGGACGTGGTCAACAAGGATACTGCAGGCGTGCACAATCAACTCACCTTCCGAACCGCGCTGAGTAGCCCACCACCACTTTTGGTGCTTGTTCCACATGCTATCGCAACGATAGCCCACTAGGTTCAGCCCCAAGGCGCCGGAGACAGCAGCACGAGATCGTCCTGTCAGTCGTACCAGTGTGTCCATGCCCTCTTCCCACCGTGCCTTAAACTCGTCCAGCCGCTGACGTTCCTCATGAGACCAACGACCCGTCTTGCTGGAGTCGACGAAGCGTCTCCCCTTCACCTTCTTGGCGGGGTGAATGTTGGCGGGCATCCGCGATGATGACGGATGAGACGTGGCCGAGGCAGGTGTATCGCGGGTTGAGGAGGAGGCAGGCATGGCGCGTACTTCCTCTGGGAGGCAGTCAGACAAACCACCGGTGGCCAAGTCAGGATCATCTGTTTCATCACACATTAGCGTAATGTAAAGAGTATAATAAAAACAAACTTGTACCATTGTACTCATCAAGAGGACCATCAGCCCTTGGCCAGACGACGAGCAAGACGTTGCTCGTCATTCATCCCACCTTCGGTGTCGGAATGAGATGGTGCTGAGCTACCGCTGTGACCAGGCACGAGGTCCGCATCAATAGCGCGGGATTTACCCTTGGAACGTGCGGGACAATGTTCATCGCCATCGCTATGATCCTCGGCGTCATGGGCCGGCGACGTGTGGCTATCGCGTGCGTCTTCTTCTGTTTCCTCCCCTTTATATTCGGTTCAATGTCAGAATAGGCCATTGCGCTAAAGAGAGAGCAAGACTGACCTGTCATCATTGCGTCGCCAAGTGTTGCGTTAACATGTTGTTCCTCGTCGGCATCTTCATTGACAGACTCGAAGGTACGGGCAGAGGATAGACCTAACCCCGAGCCATCATCCTCTGCATCAACAGCCACGGAGCCCTCAGTGATCTCAGTGCGCTCGCCATCTTCGGTGACATCTGGCTCGGCCGAGGATGAGGCATCTGGATGAACATCATTGACCGAGGCAGGAGGTCCCCTCTCCGAGTGTCGGCGAGCGTGGTTGTCCGATTCTTTGTCTATCATGGTGTCAGCATAATGATAACGCGAAGTAGAACGGCATTATCACCTTTTTTCTTGCTGTCGCAATCTGAGCAGGGAGTGTCAGTTACGCGCTGACACGCCACGACCTAACAGGTTTCACTCACCATTGGGCCAGATCCGTGCACGCGTTCGCTCTGCGACCCGCTCAGCGTGCTCTTCAGCCGAGAGGCATTTCTCGCCTGGCTTCCTCATACGCGGCCCAGGTCTTTGATGCTCCTGCCACAGGGATTTGTCGCGTTAGACAGGTTGACACCACTGCGTTCACGTACGTACCTCAGTTGCCGCTCCCACCCTGGGCCGCATGTGAGTACTCGTGGCCTGACGCGCAGGAAGAGTTCGCGTCGGTTTGACTGAGTCATTTTTTTTCTGAGAGGAAACATTAGATTTGGGAGGCATGGTACGCAGATGAAACTAAGGAGCCCACGAGCAAACTTATAAATGATTTCTAGAATTTGCTAGTGGTGCGTCAGGTAACCAATCCACGACACCGCCGACACCACAAGTGAAATTCGGTTAATTTCGACCGAAGAGAGTTCCGAAGAAATTACCAAGGCCAAAAGCCGATAGCCAATGAGCGACTTCGTTCGCCTCTCAGGACAAATTGGTCCACGTATAGGGGTCCCCCAGGGCATCCGAGGTGCTGGTCGGGTGACCGAGGAAGAAAAAAAAAAGGGCGCGTTTCGTGGACACACGTCAAAGACCATTTGCGTATGTCCCAGAGAATGGGGCAATACCTTGCGAACGCATGGTCGCGTCTGCATGGAGCACCACGTCGGGGCACATACCGCATGGCAGACAAGGTCATAAGTGAGGTCGGGTGTCGCCATTGACAAAGAACCTGGGCCATACTAGGCTAGATTCAGAAAAACAAATCAACACTGTCTTCATGATTGGGAATCGCCATCCACTAGCCGATGTCACCCTGAAATGAAGATGTTTAAAAAGGAAAGGTGAAAGAGAACGTCAACACATACCTTGTGGCAATCTAGCGATAGCGAGCATCGCATGTGAAACTATACCCGGCTGTGGTGACCGCGACTCAGGTGTACGACCCGATCCGAAAGTGAGGGTCTGTAATGAAAGTTCGGGGGGGCCTCGACGCCCAGATGTTGCGGATTGCGGATAACTGCACCCCTCATCGACATACGAACGTGTCCTAGCCCCCGCAACCGCTTTAATGGGGCCATGAGACGCCCACTTTAACACTCGACGGCACCGCCTCTGTTTCACTCGCGTAGTCGCACCACTGAGGCGAATGCACCATGTTGTTGCTCTGCAGATTCAAATATGTATGCTAAGGCCAGCCAGTCAAAGAGCTCCGATGGGCACCCGACGTTGAAAATGTTCAATACCTTGCTCCCAGAACGTGAGCTGTATGTCCTCCATCGAACTGACTATGAGAGAGCACCGTCCTCGAGCTTGTTCCACGCGCTGGTACTCAGGTGAATGAGGCGAGCCCTTCCAGAGGACATCGGCCAAGAGGTTTGATATCTCTGTATGGATAAGAGACACGCTCTCCAGCGTTTCGTCGAGACACGATATGACGCGGTCACCCTCGGACTTATCCTTGCATGCGGCCAGATTCGATCGAATCTCTCTGAGGAAGAGTGACGGGTTGCCATTGAAGATTGTTAACATTTCCTCCTCCATAATGGCGATGGCAGCGGCAGTGTTAGCGATATGAGTGAGCATGACACGTATCGTGAGATCGTTACGACAAGCATACCGTGGAACACGAGATGCTCCGAAGGGTACTTTCCTCTTGGTGAGATCGTGCCTACTCAATTGTTAGTGTCAAGGTATTCCGTGGATTGTCATATGCGCACCGTTTGACTGGTACTGACGCTTTAGCGACTTGTCCTTGCGCTCTGTCTGGTGCTCGAGTAGGCGTATGATCTGATCCACTTTGCAGATATGAGTATTCTTTCCACCCTACCGGCGACCATACATACCGACTGACCCTGGCATGATACTTGTCTCGCATCTTCGCGCACTCGACCTCTCTATTCCTGGGACAACCGTGTCGATCATTGACACAAACTCAAAAACTCAGACTAATGTATACTTACTTGTGATAGTATCGAGCTCTGGAGGCCCGTGCGGCCTCTCTGCGCTCGTCATCGGTGGTGTACTGAGGGGGTCGTCCAGCAGGCATAGTGGTCGTATGAAACCAGGACCAGTGAGGTTCCCACGCGCTGGGAGCCCCTGTGAGACTCACACCCGGGGTTTCTTGGGAGAGAAATGTAGAAACCCCCTCGCAGTCGCTACTACCAGGAGAATGAGCTTCAGGACGGACAAGAGAGGTCAAAGCAGTGTCCTGACAGCCAATTGTCAGCGTAAACCATGCCTACCTATGTGGTGTGAAAGGATTGTCAGCGACAGCTTGAGGCATGTGTTGCCAAGCTAACCAGTCTTATAAATGTTTGTTCAGCGTTCCTCATGGACCTTGGGAGAGAAATTACCAATAACATTTCCATAGGTTCTCGTCGCACACATTCCTTCAGGAATGCGTTCCATGGCAGATGATAGTGTTAATTACCACGTTTGATGCGTGCTACAAGCGGAAGCACCCATCAATAACGGGAATGTACGTTCTAACTTATACGGTGTCGTACAGACTCAATGACGTGACTACGCTCAGGCGTAATACGTTCTTAGCACACGTGTAGGAAGTAGGATAGGGCGGGTATTTGGTCAACAGCCTAGCTTGTCTTGCAATTTCGATACGCCACGATGCATCACCCACATTTATCAATCTGCGAACACAGCCAGTGCTCTGTCCTCACGGCAAGTTTGCCATAGAACGACTCACCAATCGTGGATCAACATCATCATGGCATACATAGCCAGTGCCAGCTCACTCTGAGGCCTTCAACCACGTTGATCATGCAGAGCATAGTCGTGCGGCGCGGCGGCCTCATGAGCTACCGCTCAAGAGCTATCTACCCAGAAGCGCATAGCTTCTGGGTGAGGTGCAGGCGGGTAAAGGGGGGTCGAGGAGCACATAGCTCCTCTCGGCGGGAGTGAGGACCGAGCCGCGCACGTCGTCAACAGATCTGGGGACAGGAATCAGCACCAGGAAGGGGAGGAACATAAACGCACCTTCATTGTACGGCGTGAGTATCCCTAAACAAGTGGCACGCTGCCCCTCCAGGAGACGTAGTGTCGGAGCGAGGACTTCGCCCGTAGGGTACTGAGAGAATCTGCATAGTGGCAGGTGGGAGTCAAAGGGAAAAAGAGCGGAAGCGGCGCATGGTATATATGCATCGGAGTTCTTCAAATTCCGCGGAATCAAATCGGAGTATGGATATCCTTGTTCTTCTGGGATATCCACGTTCGGGCCGGTAGCCGTGTTTCCACTTATGTCAAAAGTTCTAGCCTCCCTCGTGGCGGAATCCATAAAGGGATGAGAGCCAAATAATACCAAATAAACCAACACATCCATTCTTGTTTTCCCTTCCCACCTTGCGCTCTTCCTCCCAAAACCAAGTCCCACCCACATCGAGCGCCACGCACACCCACGATTCGTAAGTCATTCACCTCCCTCATTGACATCCAGTCTGACGCGTCGCCTAATCAGTCCTGATCGAGCAACGCAGTTTGCAGTAAGCCTTTGCATCGGTCAGCTCACCATCGCTGCGCTGACGCTGTAGTAGACAGGACTGCACGACGGCAGAACTTCAGGATTCGGTGAGTTTGCTTCACGAGGCCTTCGCGCTGATGCTCATTGCCTTCATGTGCATCTCAGGATATCCCCACACGGTAAGTTGCTCCCGCGATCGACTCTCCTTACGAGCGCTGATGTGCGCGTTTATAGAATCTTGCGCCCATTCAGCCCGGATGTAAGTCACCGCCCTCCCTCCCCCGATGATACAGTGCTCATCATACTGCAGATACTGTCCTCGCAGTCGCAACAAGGTAAGCATCATCAACTGGATTGAGGACAACCGGCTCATCCAGGAAGCCATCCAGCCAGTAAACTCACTATCACGGTACGCCACCTTCCCCTGTCGTTGCCATTCGTGAGAGGAGCTATGTGCTCCTCGACCCCCCCCCCTTTACCCGCCTGGACCTCACCCAGAAGCTATGCGCTTCTAGGTAGATAGCTCTTGAGCGGTAGCTCATGAGGCCGCCGCTCCGCACGACTATGCTCTGCATGATCAACGCGGTTGAAGGCCTCAGAGTGAGCTGGGTCTTTACCTACGTACATGACATCGTCTTCCATTTCTTTCTTACATTACGTACCTACTATCTTACTCATTTTTGTTGTCCGGATTTTGGCTGTGCCTTTTTGTCGTTATGTGCCCGAATGGTGCCCGTGATCGTCCCGCCAATCTTGCTTGCCCCTCTTGTTTCCTGGGTGGCGTATGCACAACATCAGATGCTGGTAGGCAAACATCCTTGATAAGTGTGAAATGAAGGTGTTGAACGCGAACCACAAAGATCATCAAACCCCTGGATGCTCGCAAGGTCGTCCACATGGACATGTTCCCTCCACATCGACGCCTTCTTGACCAAGAACGTAAGATCGGGGCACCTTCGCGTGTATTGTCGCTGACGAGTATTTCCTCAGAGCCCCTGCTATTCACAGACGCTCTTGCGCTGGCCGTGTATGACGGTCGTCTGCTCACTTCACCCAACATGGATGTCATCTACCATCCGCACGTGTTCCAAGGCGAAGCGGTGTTTGCCAGGGCGGACGGACGCTATGCAGCTGTAGATCCGCATCAGCACCCCCAGAAGTTCGACCACAGCTGGCCCTGGGCTCCCTTGATCATGCGAGACGACGGATCCACCGACAATCATGCGCATCGATGCGCCTGGGACCCTTTCAAGGACACGGACTGGGTTCGTACCACCGCCGACTCTCGTGTAGGGCTGCTCAGCCAGGAAGCGAAATCTGGCTTACAGGCTATGCATGTCGACCTCCGGGAGCGCTCTGAGGAATGGTTCCATTCCATGACCAATGACTCGAAACCCAGTGCCATCATGGCGTACATCAACGATTTTGTGGCGAATGTTGGTCTACTGCAAAGCTCGCCCTTGACTCATCGCGAATCTGTCGCGAGATTTGCAGAGACCCAGCGTTTATATCTTAATCTACACGCATACTTGGATTATGTCTCCGTCGTCCGGCCCCGTGTGTGGTCTCCGTTGCCTGCCTTCCCACACGCTGTCAACACACACTGGATGGGAGCGTTCACGGACTCCGCCCAGGTTTGCCATATGCTTTATGCCGCTGGTGTGCCCATCTGGTACATCAGGGACCCTCAATCCATTCCCCCCGATATGAACATCATCCGTCATGTTGAGGTCATTCCTGCGAAGATCACTTACAGGGAGTTCTTCGACATGGACACGCATGACAAGCCCTTCCCCATCCTTCGTCCCAGCGATGTAGCTACTTGGCAGCGATTGTCTGCAATGCTGAAAAGGGCCGCTCCCCAGGAGATATTGGAGGCGCCGTTGTCCATGTCATTGTATGCAGAGATCATGTCGCGCTGGAAGCCGTCTCGGCATCAAACCTTTGACGGTAAGACCTACTTCACTATTCTTAACTAGTTACTCACGCGCGTCATAGGTTCGGTTACTGCCAATCGTGACCGATGGTCCGTGTTTAAGCATGAAAACATGGCCGAGCCAGACCACTGCTGGTACTGGGGATTACGCAACGTCAAGCGTGAACTCGACCAGGCTAACAAAGTCCGCACCGAAGTTGCCCGGGAACGACGTCGAAGGCTCAACATCAAAGGCACAGGGAAAGAGACTGCATCTGAGCCGCCCCACGGAACGGGCAACGTTGCATTCGGGCTGCGTTTCCCCGACCCCGCCATGCTTTGCTCGTCTGACGATCCTGGTCGTTGCGAGACTTACGTCACGAACTGGATGCTCGCTCGGGAGAAACTGATCGATCTTGTCGATGCCAATCCTACTAGTCAATCATTCCCGAAGGCCCAAGCCTGGCATCGTCTACTGTTGGGGGACATGGCCCCGAATGCATTCCTTTCCTCCCCGAAAGCTATCAACGAGGTTTCGCAGTGGCGCCCTTTGTTCGGTGACGATGTGTGTGGTGCTACCACCGCGCAACCTCGGGTCAGCAATCGTACCCCCGTGCTCTGGCGCGGCAAAGACATGGACCCATTCCGCTTGAGTGATCTCTCCCCGACTGAGATCCGGTTGATAGTCTGGGAGGTTGCCGACCTGTCATTTCGTTACGAGTTCTTGGCCCTTGACATGTTCTTGGCTCGTCAACACTGGGATGCTGACTATGATGGCCGTCTCAAACGAGTGTTTGAGGCGTTTGATGTTCCCGAGGATGCCACTTGCCTGGCTGCACCTTTCTCGCTGCTACCATCCCCGATCAACCCCCGCGGCATGCATATATCCGCGCCCGATGATGTCATGAGCTTACGCCACTGGGATATGTTCCGTCGTTTGATGAACAACTGGGAAGGAGGAAAACAATTTGCGCCACTTGAGGGCAAGTACGATCGCGACAACCGCCTCACCTGGCCAGAGCGGTTGTCGACTCATTACATCCGCAAGTTTCACCACCACACCGGTCGTCCACCGGTCGTCCCGTTGATGTTTCCTTTCTAGTGGCAGGCGTCTCTTGCAATCTTCTTTTCTTGTCCTCGTTCATCGTCGGCCTGCGCGCACTCGGGCCATTTTCGCCCTTTTTTGTTTTGTCTTCTTCTTTGATCTTCATCTACTTGTTATATACGATGTGCTCGTTGCTTACCGCGTTCTCAGTGCAAACGAGGCTAATAGTTTTGCCGTGCAATGTCCGTCCGTCGACCAACGATTAACAAACCAAAGAGGCGTAAACGCGATGCCACCGACAACGGCGCGCCAGAGTCAGCTCTGGGGACCCGAGGTGCGGTTGGAGTTGCATCGTCGTTGGTACGCGTGCATGCGCCGTCCGCTCCCGAGGTCCCTCGAATACACACATTCGTCGACATTGAGCATGCACCGCCTCGGCCCAAACGTATTGCTAGGCTGTTACACCCCCGCTTGGCGCAAGGAGCCCCCATACTCACACTCCCTGCTCGGCAACTGATCCAACGGCCCATCGCAGGTTGAGGCCCACACGGACCAGTCCTACCTGATATTGGATTTAATCCATTCGCGACCGACTTCACGCAATTTGAGGATGCACCACCGCCAGATCGAAGAACGTGGATGTCTGCTTCGGAGAAAAGACAAAGGGTTTGGGCTAAGTGGACAGATGATGCGTTGCCTTCGCTCATTCTGCCGTATATGGACTACATGAAACGCACTGATAGTCTACGGGTTGACCATGATATCACTGCTGACCTCTTAGGTCCTGGCGCTTGTGCATGTTCAAAGATGGATTTGAAAGTGATATGTCTGTCTTTCAAGCGTGAGCATGCACTCCCTGGTGGCTTTGTCTTGCTAATGATCATATAGATATCCAGCGCATTACGCTATCTACATGTGGATGCCAAACGGCTCCCCTGCAATTAGTTCGCCTTGGTATGTTCCCCAATACTCCTTCAAAGCCTACACTGGCCATCGACTTCCGTGTGTTATCCCTCGCTTCAAACTTGTTCAAGCGCCTCACACCAAATTCCACGGCCTGGTGTGAGGCCTTGGATGACTTTTTCAAGCAAATGCGATATCAATTCGCAACGGACGTAAGAAATGAACACTGTCGGCTTAGTCTCTGTTGGTTACTGACCGAGTTGAATCAAGGATCCCTTGCGCAGATGGTTTGCCATGGCCATCCATTGGTTTGCGGTGTTGCGGCTCGCCGTAGAGTCCCATGTCGACAGGGTCATTGAATGCGCTCAGCCTGCTCGAATGTCCACACCGGTGGCCGGTACCAGTTCCGAGGATGCAGTTCCCCTCGATACGTCTCCCGTTATCGCTTCTCATTCTTACTCCCGAACGCAGGTGTCGCCTTACCTGCAGTCCCGGTGCGCATTATGTTTCCCCGAAACGTTCAGCCATTCGACGTCAAGCCCGGATGTGATTGTATGCCTAGACGCGTGCTTCACGCAGAAGCGCGCCAACAACACTCGCCAGGCGGCCGGCGAAGATCCGCCAAATCCTACAGCCTCTTTTTTTGTTCCCGAATGTGTCGTCAAAGAAATACAAGAGTGGGTTGCCCAGCAACGGGAACCGAGAACTGGAACTCGAGGGCGCCAGCACGAAGACGATGACAACATCGAGGCTGGGATGAAGGTGCCCGCATCGAGTCTGGAAGCATGCGGTTCCTCTTTCAAGGCAGCGGATGAAACACGCGAGAAAGCGAGCACTTGTTTTTTCGCTGACACTGGCCTGATGGCACTTGTTTGCAGACATGATCGTGTCCTCTGGTTCTGCAACATGACGTCTGCCGGTGAGAGGCAGTACTATGCGTTGGCGCTCTTAGAAATGCTCCTCCGCCACGTTCCCGGAACAACGAGAGTTGGGCTGTTGTACGACATTGCCTGTCAGCTGGAACGCAGCGCCCGCAAATGGGGACTCCTGTCGGACGAAGTGCTTGCTCGAATGGAGTTTGGTGTCTCGGTGTTTCACGCGTATGGGCACCAATGGCCATGTCAAGTGGTGTACCACCCTTGTAAGCGTATAGGATTTGGACTATCCGATGGTGAAGGCTGTGAGCGTCTGTGGAGCGCTCTTCGATTTTTGATCTCGATCTTAAGGGTTTCCGGTGTAGGTCTCCATGCTTTATTTGATGTGAGATGATATCTGAACTGCGAATTTAGATGCATCAACGTCGTTTTGTGTTAGACGATCAGGTGCGGTTTCTTGACGCTAAGGCAATGATAAGCAGTGGGACATGGCTTCGCAACAAGTGGAAGGGGTGTCAGGAGAAGAAAACAGTGGCCTTGGACGTTCTGAGGGAATGTGCAACACCGGTTGGGGTGTTGCGAGGCGAGTGGAACTCTCAGGTTTTGTCCCAGACTCGCCCCTACCCCGTGCGCGCGTACCTTGTAATTTTGACACATTGACCTCATTCTCCCTCCCTGTGTAGGTAAATCCCAGGCCCGCGTGGATGCCGCAGTTGCAAGGGCGCTAGAACTGGAAAAGACTATGAACGCGCGTGGCACTCAGGTCACCCATCTCGAACAGCAATTACGTGCAGGGTTAAACTCGGACGTATTGGATATCGGTGTCATGCTCAAGGATGCTCGCGAGTCCCACAAGTTGGCAATCGCGGCGCTTCAGCAATGCCTCGGCACCATGGGTGCTCCAGCTCGTCGACGACTGCAACAACGTAAACTGGATGTGTACATGCAAGTGAGAATAGAGGCGCTCTCTGCTTTGACGCGTATCCGAGAACGAGCACGCGGTCGAAAGTTCCAGCTCGAGCGCATGAAGGACTCATACCGGTCATCGGCGAATGGTAAGTGATCCCAGCGTGTATCATCATTGACTGCTCAGTACCTGCAGAAAATCACTTAATGACCCACATTGAGTCATCCGTAAAGAGGGGCGAGCCATCATTGAAACGGCTGGTGGATCGTTATAATCAGCTCTGCATGGACATCAGGAGTCTGATATCAAAGCGAAGGGCTCCTGCCCGTGCTGTGGTCCCACCCCTTATTACGGCGCAGCAAGTGTTCAATCTAGATGTCGACAATGACATATGGCAAAACACCGGCCTCGATGATTCTTCGTTGGCACCTCCGGCTTGGCTCTCCAACGATAGTGTGCGCAGAGGAATTCGAGCAATGCTTGAGGTCGACCGCTGCAACGAGGAAGAGGCTCGCCTCCTGGTTGAGCGTTGTCGACTTCAGGACTGGATCAAAGAACAGTGGCAACATCTCAAGCGCGCTGAAGCAGGCACTGGTAGATTGTTAACACCCGCTTGATGTGTACTAACTCCTCTGCAGGTGCGAATGAGGTCTATTTCATAACTCGTAGAAAGGAGCACGTCGCTCGTTTGTATACCGAGTGGGAGCCGTTGGTGCGAGATATACCATGCGATGAGGGTAGTTCATGGGGGCTGGATCCAGGAGAAGTCAGGGACGCGTTTGCTCGAAAGAACTGCGAGAGCTTCATTGAATGTACGCCAGCGACAACCGTTACTCGTGACTCCCTTTCGATGGATGTCGGGATCAGTGAGGGTGTGGGTGACGGGGAATTTGTGGGGGCCAATGCAGATCCTGAAAGTGATGTCGTTCTAGAGGATGGAGAGGACTCAGTTCCTTCGTCAGATGAAGAGGATGTCTTCTTTGATTCTGAAGACGAGTCAGAAGCAGAGTGGGGAATGGATCCTTTTGAGGCCGGACCACATATCTTCCCTTCTTCACCCTGATTTCAATCCTGATTAGCACAGTACATATATTTAACAGCCCTGCCACGCCGTATGTCAAGCGCAGCCGACTTGGACACGGGAATAGTATGTACTTTGTTGTGAATTCAGAATCTGTGAGGGTGGATCCTACCTTTCGCGTGGCGAAGGTAGCATGGTTCATCCATTATGCTTTGCTGGATATCCATCACTCATTAGGTCCATTTCCTATGAATATAAAGGTGCGGATTCTTCTATTGTAACTGTCGGGGGACCTCCAGATACGACCGGTGGTTAACCAGTGTCACTCTTTGCAGGCCTTCCTTTGCTATAGCTGTGCTGGTACGATTATTCATGGACGTATGGATATCCCATGCCCGGACTACAAAGCCCCAGTGGGGCATCCAGACATGTTCAGTGGGTATCTACTGATTGTCTACATGACGGCGTGGTGATGGGGATAATCCTGCGGGTTGTTTACGGGACGCCTGCGAATGTCCTGTGCCCTGTGACGGTTACTCACACCATAGGGATACTCATGGGGATATCCCTTGGGCAACTTCCAAGGCCACCGGTGGATGTCCTCCACGCTAGTACGTATATCCACTCCTCGCACCTGGGACGTCCACTCCACCGTGCAGAGGGCAGTGGATAATCAGGGTGGTAATCTGGAGCATGCCGGTGGATATCCAGATGTTTGTTTCTGGCAGCTTAATGACCAGTGGGGATCATCGAGGTCTGGATTGGTACTTTGAGGATGTTCGAGGTGTGGTCGTGGTTAACCATGTATATGCACAGGGCTTCCATGGACATCCTTGGTCCCCTCATTCAGTCACCGAATGGATGACCCATCGAGACGGTGGAAGACCCTGTGGATATCCTCCAATAGAATATTCACAGGACTAATGATGTCTGCTGAGCATAAGTGCGTCGCGTGGAATATTCTGTCGTTATGTTCACAGTACTCAAATATGTTTAAATGACAGAGGAGATATTCTGGTACATGCAATAGTACTCAAGTATCATGTTTGACTTGACGGCGGTTTCCTGCTCCGAAAATAGCAACAGCAGGCGATATGTAGTGAGCGCCGTAAGTATTGTGAAGAACAGTGCTCTAACATCATGTGTATGTCGATTTGGTTCTTTTACAATAAATACCAAACAGTGAAAATAAAGCATATATTATCGCCATAGAGGGGGGACCCCAGACATCCTGGATGATCACGCTGGGTATCCACCACCAAACGCAGGACGACCTTAGTGGAATGGGACATCCACAAAAGGATCTACTCCTCCAGGGTGACTGAGGTGCATCCTATGAACCTTTGATGTGTATACAGGCGAGTTGGAGGAGATCCACGGGGTGGACGTGGATCATCCGTGAGTACAAGGGATCATCACCATGGGTGAGCACCTTACAGGTACAGAATTTAGGTGGGCGAAACACACCTTATAGGGGTGGATACCCGGGGTGACTGAAGTGGCAGCTTCTACCTGAAACTGCAGAAGAGTTCTTTTACCTGAAAGGTGTGCGTTGAACCAGATAATTGCCCGAAAAATGGTCTTGATTTGCTCTAAAGTGAGGCTGTTGATGAAAGATTGTGGGAGTTTCTTGTGCAAATCGTGTTCACTGTTAGACAGAGGCTCAGGTATATGTCTAATATTACAATTAAATATAATATAAAGGATAAGTGTACCTGGTACTGTCATAAGTGCGAGGGATATATGTGTTAGTGAGGCAGGCGAGCACATTCAGAGGCATCGTGATTGCGAGACAGGGGCTCGGCAGCCACGGCACGGTCAAAAGTTCGAACTCTGTTGGTCGCCTGCCAGCGTGTTGACATTTTGTCCCAGTCTCTCTGATGCGAGAGCCCCTGGCTTGTTGCCTTATTAGGCCACATAAGAAGAGACAGGTCACAAGTCTAGGACCAAACCCCGGGTTTTCTCCTGGACATCTGGACCCCCAAATTTGGGCTATAGAGCCGTCAAAATCGCATTTTTTCACCCCACAAACGCAAACAAGGACAATTTTGGCGTTGTTAGTGGTATATAATACTAGTAATTATTTTTTTTAAAATTTTGACAAAACAAGGGGTCGAACCCGTGCCCTCGCCACAATGGCTTTCCTGATGCGCTCCCAATTGCAATATATCAATACATAGCTCGAGTTTGTCGCGATCGTATTTACGAACAATCACGACCAGTCATGATACTTACGATCACAACAGGAACTCGTGAAGTGCGCAGTCATTCCGCTTCACTTTACTTTATTCGGTCACGTGACCGGCTACTTCAATAACCGGTCACATGACCCGGCTCAGCTACTTTACATTACCGGCTTACATAATCATTCTATGACATTCCCGGATAATCTTTATGATATCATCATGATGTCACAAACGCGTCATCAACACGTCATAACTAACATCACACATATGTCACTCGTTAACCATTAGTAGTAGTACCTTGCACTGCTTGGTCTGTGCGCACACAGTCATTACCATATTAGCTAGTCTGTTTGGCTTGACCAAACAACCTGTACTTGTATATAGTCTGAGCAATCTACGCCCCAAGACTCTAAGTGAATTCTTGTGGGAATCCCTCCTAACAGCTCTACACCTAGTCTTGCCACGTCAGCGAGCAGTCAATCCCGCCCCGCCTTTCCTCTCGTCATCGTCCTGTACAGGGCTTCGTCGTCTACCTTCTTCTGTGGTTCCTGCGTGTGTTGGTTTCTTGGGCTCGCGCCTTAGGAGTCGCTCACAGAGTTCACACCCATTACCTCCACCACTCAACTTAGCGACCATTTGTTGCGGTTTGTGGTCAAGTACCAATTAGGTTCATGCTCAAGTGGTGAACTCGAAAATATGGATTGGGTTTCTCCTTGCTTTCCCTGGTTCCAAAACACCGTGTATGAAACAGTAGAGCTATTAATATAAGCTACCATGTAAGCATCATCCTTACTGGCCTTGAGAAAACATGATAAACTCTGTAGACCTAATATTACTTAGTTGCTCGAGCCTCGAGGCACTAGAATCACTAGACCATGGGATAGAGGACTAACTCTGGGTACAATGGCTCCATTTGGCTTAGATTGGGAACATTATTGCCTCAGACCGCCGATTTTGATAGGATAACACAGAGAACATGTCAAAATTTTGTCCAAGTCCTACCTCTATAGGGATTACATGCGGTCCTTTTTGGGGCTACTGCACCCACCCCGACCCCAGGTTTGACCTCTGACGTCGGCCTGCGAGACCTACTCGCCCCGGGTTCTACCCCCAACATCTTGCCAAAATTTGGGCCTCAGCCCCAGGTTCTACCTCGGAGGTCAGGTGCTGATGCACCCGTCCGCCCCGGGTTCTAACCTCAGACTTCTAGGTGGGCATTTGGGGGTCCTGATGAATCTGATTGCGAGTGATCGTGCAATAGCATCCCGCCGGCTCGCCCACGCCTGTGTGATCACGATTGCCAGCGAAGTAATGTGCCGCCAGCTTCGACTGCCCGCACATCATGCTTGTCAGCAAATGTGCAACATTAGGAACTTCGAAGTTCCTGTTTTGAGCTCCCGCAAACTTGGCTTAGCTTGTATAACATTGTAATACCACCATATTTTGACGGTAAGATATCATAGAGCCTCTACAAGGCATAGCAAGTCAAAACCAGTCTATTGTGATATCAAAAGCTCAACAAGTCTAATTCTAAGCAAAGAGCAAAATGCATCTATAATTCGAAGAAAAAAGCATAAATTGTGAATGCCACTGATCTAATCTTCCGGAGCCGGACTGCTCGACGGCATCAGGAAGCGGTGCGTGTTCGAAAAGGAGTTGTTGTCTATAGTTGCAACATGAGCTGCAGGTTCTTCCTCGTCAGTTAACCCCCCAGGCACTGAGGAGCGCTGGCCAGTGGTGACCCGCGATCCCATCAACGACTCATTGGTACTGATGAGTTGCTGTCTCAAACCTCTTGTGCAAGAACATCTGCACATCGCACTGAGTGCCTGTCCTGTAGCTGGTGAAAGCGCGTTCAACCTGGGCATTTATTAGAAAACAATAGCCAGTTAAGGAGAGAGACGTACAACGAGCATTGCGAGAACCACTGCACCCTTTGGCTGGATGTATTGAATGCGCAAGCCTGTCATCTTGCGAACCATTGAGGTCATGGTGTTGTTGATGAAAGCTGATTGCAGGAATCTGCTTGGTTTCTGCAAGATAGAAATGTGATGAGGGCAAGGTGGGAGGTTAGATAGAGCAGGGGCTCACCTTGTAGTGCGGACCATCGCACCCGAGCTGCTGTGTATGCTCCATCGGAGTCGGATGGTGCCAAAAGGCAGGTCCATCCAAATGGAGTGCCCCTGCAGCATCAACTCTACAAGGCAGAGCTGTCGCTGCACTCCAAAATTAAGTCCCACACTTAGAGAGAGAATAGTGTTGTGATAGGTTCATGCGTGGGCTGGCCACAAGCTAAAATAATATTCATTATGCTACCAAGTCCCGGTAGGGTACTCCCAGTTCCAAGCCCAAGCCAAATGGTCGATGACAACATCTGAATGAGCAGCGCTTCTGTTAACGGAGTGGGGCAACAGTGGTCCCCAGACATTGGTGTCTGATGCGAATAGTGTTGTTCCTGGCCTGGCCTAAAAGCCAAAGCCAAAGCCAGGCCAAGCCAAGCCAGGTTTCAGGTCAAGCCAGGCCAGGCCAAAGCCAGTACCGGGCCAAGCATTGTTGGCCTGGCTTCACCACCAAGCCAGGCCAAAGCCAAGCTGATAGGCCATGGCTTTGTTAGACATTTATTATAATACTATATATCAGTAATTACAGTTGATGTTAGCTAGTTTGATAGTTTTGTAAACCTTGTACAGCTATCCTTTATCTAATCCTTGTGTAACTTGCAGACCACACTTGTTTGTGACTGTGGAAAAGTCAGTGTTGGGAGTTTGTCCTCTAGAGCTAAATAGTTTAAAGCCTAAGTCTTCATCAATGGTGATTGACCCTGCACTAGGCTATTCTTTGATGAGACTACTAAATTATCAGAAGTGATCCTTGACTATGCTGTCTCTCAAAACATACCCAACTCTTGACAGAATCTGTTTTTTGGAAGAACTAACCATTTATAAAACTAATGTGTAGTAGTAATAATCCTGAATAGACCTTATCCTTGGTATAGCTATTGTACTAGTAGGTCTATGGCCAGTGCTCAGTAGAAAGCCTGATACTCAATATACTCCCTAGTGCTTAACAGAAATTATGCCCCATCACTTTCATGTTTATTTGGATTGCCAACAAGACACTTATGATCTGCCAAGGACTATTTCAGTTAAATGTTGTTTCTGTCAAGGGTTAGCCCTGTTAAGGATTAATTCCATCAATGGTTAGTTTTGTTGAGCTAGTGTTGTCAAGACTTAGCTTTGTATTATAGGATTAGGTAATTTCTTGAGGATTAGTTACTATGTTTTACTCATAGTCAGGTGCTTAGGCATAAACAAGTGTTCTCATAAGGACTTAGCGAGGCTCATATCAAGCATATCTAAAAGCAGTTACTCACAAGCATATGGTATTTACCACTATACAAGGGTTAACCTGCAATTAAAGCATTCAGCTATAATTTGTAAGTAAATTTGTAGTGTAGTTAAAGTACCATACAAAAGCCATGGCTTAAGCCAAGCCAAGCCAGAGCCAAGCCACAAGCCAATAACTTTGGCTTGGCTTGAGATTTGGTCAGGCCAAAAGCGACTTGAAGCCAAGCCAAAGCCAGTGGCTTTCAGGCCAAGCCGAGCCAAGAACAACACTAGTTCTATGAAGCTGCAGCAGCAGCAAACTTCCCATTGCTTCCAGAGCACGAAAGCACCGGACTTTCTGAGATACCTGATTCTCTAAATGTACCTGAGGACAAAGATATTAGTATGAGGGATCCAGATCCTGAGCTGGTATGTTAAAATTTTTACACTGCTATTCTGTGTTAATATCTATGGTTGCTCAATAGGTACATAACTTGACATGGACCGGATGATCTGTTTGTCTGCCCGTGCGGTTCCAAGACTTTTGTCAAGCGTTCAGAGACATTCCTTCCCCTCTCATGCTCCCTCTGTATCCCCAAGTCATTCACCTTCCCCTGCACATGCTCATTCTGCAGTGCCTACAACCAAATTCACTACAACACCCAATAACTTTGGTTTATATCGTGTATATCCCTCCATGCCGACACATGACCCTCCAGATACATTACAGCTTGTCTCTGATTCCCCTCTACTCCAGAAAAAGATACCTAAGTAGCCTACCTCCAACCTTCTAGATCGCTCGGGCAAACCTCAGCCTGCAGACCTTGATTGAGCTGAAGTCATGGCACCATTTTCTAGTCCCTCGGCTGGAATGCTCATGGCTTATGGTGAGGCAGGCACTGGCCAAAAGTCCAAAAGTGATCTAAAGTGGTTGGGCTCAGTACTCATTCAGCACCCACTGTTCAAGCCAGAAGAGCTTTCTAGCTTTGATCCAGCTGCAGAGAAACATCGTCTTGACAGGTTTTTACAGACAAAAGACAATGCTTTTTGTGAGGAGCATGGTTGGTACAAGTCTTCTCTCAAGATTGCCCTTCCATTTGAAGGCTGTGCACGTGCTGGAGGCGAGGATAATGCTCCCAAGCTGACAGTGGACTTCTTTCATCAAAAAATCTCCGACATCATGAAATCAGCTCTCAGAGACTCTGTGTTTGCCACATATAACACTACCCCTTTTGAACAGCGCTGGAAGTCAGCAGATGGTCATGATCTCCGGGTTTACTCAGAGCTATATAGCTCTGACGCTGTTCTGGAGGCATACCATGAAGTTAATGGTGTACCAAACTCTGCTGGCAACAATTACGAGCACATTGTTGTCCCAATCATGCTTTCATTTGATGCGACACTTCTCTCAAATTTTGGTGATGCCAGTCTATGGCCTATCTACTTGTTTATTGGGAACCAGTCAAAGTACATTTGTGCTAAGCCTACAATGAAGGTGTGTCATCATCTTGCGTATATTCCAAAGGTGTGTCTTACTTGTTTTTATTATTATGGTGGCATACTAACACGATCAATTGGAGCTTCCCGACAGATGGCAGAACACCTACACTGAAATTTACAAGAAGCCACCCACAAAGGATGTGCACACACACATGAAACGCGAACTTGTTCATGCTGTATGGGCACTGCTGCTTCGTGATGAGGATTTCCAGTGTGCATATAAAGATGGTATTCTCAGAAAATGCAGCGATGATATTGTTCTCCAAGCACTTATCCAAATATGCACATACACTGGTGATTACCCTGAGAAGTGAGTTGTCTGCAATACAATGTTTATCTAACTAATTGGACTAATTGTATAGGGCTATACTATGCTCTATTAAAAATCTGGGACGAGCGCCATGTCCACGATGTCTTATCCTCATGGGTCAGCTTGCAAAGATGGGAATGAAACTTGATATGAGGATGAGGGTATCAAGAGCTCGGATTGACAGTATTCATCGCCAGAATCTTGTTGAAAAGGCTCGCACACGGATCTTTAAAAAGGGTTGTTCAGTCAACTCAAAAGCAGTGACATCGCTTCTGGGTGATCAGTTGTATGTGCCCACCAGAGCAAGTTTTCTCCTAGTATCTGTCTCATAAATTTGTCATTAACTACCACTTTTTAGAATGCATTTTTGGAGCCTTTGCTCCTGCATGGCATCAACTATTTTGAACTATTCCCTGTTGACTTGCTGCATGAGTTTGAGCTCAGCGTATGGAAGGCTGTGTTTATCCACCTTGTCCGAATGGTCATGTCTCTTGGAGGCACTGCAGTGCAGGATGTGAATGACCGGTATGTATTTAGTATATTCCTAGTTTACCACACTAAAAGTGGTCTAGGTATCGTAAAATCCCAATGTTTGGAAAGCAAACAATCTGTAGATTCCAGAGGAACGTTTGTGCAATGAAGAAGCTAGCAGCTCAAGATTTTGAAGATCTCCTCCAGGTTGGCGAACGTCCTTACTACTGTACAATAACTGACATGTTTCTAGTGTTCTATTCCCGTTTTTTAGGGTATCTTCTCCGAGAAACCACGTCGAGACAAGAAGATCTTGCTGGATACTCTATTCGAGCTGTGCAATTGGCATGCTCACGCCAAATTACGCCTCCATACTGACGATACTCTTGAGATCTTTGAGGCATCTACCTCATCTCTGGGTGCAACTCTGCGCAAGTTCAAGCAAGAGGTTTGTCCTTCGTATGATACCAAGGAACTTCCACCAGAAACAGCAGCTAGAGGATGACAAGCAGCTGCAAGAGTTGCTCAGTCATCCTCAAGCGCAGCTATCATTGAAAAGAGCAACCACCGCAAGGAGTTAAACTTGGAGATTTACAAGTTTCACGTTCTCGGGGACTACATCAAAAACATTCACCGCTATGGAACTACTGATAATTATGTGTATATTGCCGACCCCTGCACTAACATCTGCCTCAACTGCAGAGTGAGCTTGCACACTGCACACCAAAGTGACGCTATAAGAAAACACCCAAGAAGCACAATCTCATGATCAAGTCCCTAACGCACCTTGAGTCTCGTTCTCATTTTTGTTTTTTTGATAAGCTCAATAACTATCTGGAGAAGACGTCTTCTCCAGACTCAGAGGGCAGTGAATCAAACGAGGCCAATGCAGATTTGCCCACCCCCTCAAATCTAACAGACCCTCAAAGCCACTACTGGATATCTAGCGAGTCCCGAAATTACATCTCGGTCTCCAATATGATCACTGTTATGAACGAGTCCCTTGGCATAGACAAATCAGTGAGTTTTGTATCTAGTACCTTTGACAACATGTTTATCTCAATGATACTGCAGACATTCACTCAGTGCTTGAAAACCCATATCTTAGATCGCCTCCGAGAGCAAGGAGACACTCCCGAGTCCCTTGACTTACCTTCAAAAGATGTTGAGGACTTTGAGTATTCTGACAAACAGCTTGATGCACTCATCATTAGCAAGAACAGGCTTCATGAACACAAGACACTTCGTATAAACTACACTACATATGATGTTTGGCGGGAGCAGGACACTATCAACCCACGCTCACGAGCTGATCTCATGGTCTTGGCTCAGGACTTGCAGCCCGACTCCAATTCCCATCCCTACTGGTATGCTTGTTTGCTCTACATCTTCCATGTTGACGTGTAATTTGCCTCCGAGCAACGCTCAAGCGAGCGACAAGTAGATGTGCTGCTGGTGCGATGGCTTGAGTTTGACTCAAGTTATCCCTGTGGCTTTGAGGCGCATCGCCTTCCTCGTCTCGCGTTTTATCCACTCGGCACTTCTGCTTGCTGGGATTTTATAGATCCCAACACTGTCATTCGTGGTGTACACCTTCTGCCCGGTTTCAGTCATGGCCAAATCACAGGCCCCTCTATCCCAAGCAACATCTCACGCATGCACTTTGGTGCGAAGGATAGTGCCAATGACTTGGAATACTTGCATTATTACGTGAACATGTGAGTCATCCTAAGTGTATTCTATCTATGTCTAACAGAATATCAGGTTTGTTGATCAAGATATGTTCATGAGGTTTTGAGGAGGCGGAGTTGGGCATGTGGTAACCCGGCACTTGGACCCGGTCTTGCTTGCTGATGGCAGGCAAGAGAGCATTGTCCTGTCAGACAAGGACAATGAGGGTGACAATGAGGATGCAGATGATGAGGATGCAGACAATGAGGATGCAGATTTGGGAGATTTAGAAGCCGAGGATGATGGCTGGTCTGTGTTTGATGAGGAGAGAAGTGAAGATGAGGCAGGATCAGACAATGAGGGCGAGCATGAAGAAGATGAGGATTTTCTGGGTGATGATGATGTACTTACTGAGCAAGCCGGGTATGCTGCATTATAGATGCACATTACTTAAACCGATCTCTTTGAACATGCTCATGGTGAACACGCTTAGAGCTAGCATTTTTAGAGCATTTCATTGGCAGCAGATGTTATTTATTATGCAGATATAAAATTTTACAAACACACGGGGGATCACATCTATGGCTATGGTAGTTTTGATATGTACATGGGTTTTCTGTCAATTTACGGGGTGGATATGCATGTGCAAAGTGCCCCCAGGCCCCTGCTTCAGGTTTTTGCTTCACATTTTGCTTGTGGCTGGGCTCGCGGATAATACGCCTTGCACAGAGTGCATGTCACACAGAGCCCGACTAGGGGCAGTGAAGCTACATGAGTGTTTGGGGCCCGAAGGCATTTCCCGTATAGTTAACCTTCTTACCGTTATTCGTTTGGTCGTGTTTTGATTCACTGGTGGACGCTGAGAGGGGACAGATCCGGCCGAATTTTGCTAGAAGCCCCCTGTTGAATGTAGTGATGCGTAAGCCATGAATGTACGTGGGTTGATAATCCATCTTGGCGGTTCATTCAATGCTGGCTCCCCTGTTCACAGACATTCTCCTCAAGAGGCCTTGGCGATATGTGCCCCTCGCCAATCGACGGTTTAAAACGGGCGATTGCGACCCCACTTGCATAGTCATTCCAGCGGTTCACCTCTCTGATTCATGTCTCCTACTGCAACATGTCCGCCACTTTCGTAGTAGGCATGGTCGGGCTTGCCAACGAAATGCGCCGCTCGGAGGGCAACGGCGGCGCCCAGACGTTCTACTGTTACGACGATTCCGCGCTCCTGTACTTTGCCTATGTTTCCAGCTTTCTTTGTTTGTCCTTCGTATATAATAGTGTTGTACATTCGATGTCTCACGAGGCCCCATGAAACTCCTGCCAAGGTCTCTCCGCCAGTTGTCATATTTTCAACCCATATAAGGAAATAGGGTCTCTCCGCCCTAGTCATATCTGAGAGGCGGGTGGACAAAATTTCGCCGATGTCTCTCCGTACTTGTCATATTTGAGAGGTCGGCGAGGTGTCAATGAAGTGTGGTAGTTGTTGGAACCTGGGGCGGGAGGGCGTGTCAGCGCCCGACCTCCAACGTAGGTGTTGAGGCCGAACTTTTTGGCCGGATGTGGGGTAAAACCCGGGGCTTGGACAAACACTTGAAACTTTTTTCAGGTTATCCGACTAGAATTAGCGTTCCGGAACAGATTACCTCTGACCCGAGCCAATTGGAGCCGTTGTACCCAGATTTAGTCTTATATCCCACGATGGAAACCTTGAAAGGATATTGAACCCTTCGTGTCTGCTCAATTGATTTTGCAATGCTTTCTCGATACCAGTTAGATTACTTCGTGGAGGAAGGCAACAATAATGCCTCGATGCAATGAAAACTGGCTTAGTATACATCTAACCCTTAACTTGGATTAGTGCTCCACATATGCCGATCCTAAACAACTGACATCTAGGTGTTAAGTAATGGGTGTGAACACGAGCTATGTAGTCATATACTTACTGTGAGCACAATTTAACATGTCGTTGTGGCTTAATGGGTAATGTTCCTGCCTGTGACAATTTCTCGCGAGGGGTACGAGTTCGACCCCTCATTTTGTCACATATCTGAGAATTTATTTTTTAGCTTCTATCCCCTTGCAAGTCATACATTATAACAGGAGAACGTAGGTGGGATTGCACTGGTATAAATTTCGTCTTTGTAGCCATACTTGCATGGGTCATGGGTCTAACATAATTAGTATTATGTCACGCAGAATACTTATCATGTGATGGGGGTCTCTCCGAGTTGTCATATCTGAGACCAGACTTGGACCCTCAATTTGTCATATTTGAGAGCGAAATTCTGGATTTTTCCGGAGAGACATATGTGGGAGTTTTGCGGGGCCTGTCTCACGTTTCGTTCCGCCAAAATAGTATGTTGTTCTCACCCTCCTGTATAACGCGCTTGCGCAATCCATGCCTTCGTCGTCAGAGTGCCGGAGAGCAGCGGAGGCGTGTCTTGTATACATGCATTTGCGGAACGGGGCACCTGCACCCGCGTCTGGAAGTAGGATGGTGAGAGTGAAGAACGTGTTCCTTGCGGAGTCTCAAGTACTTGACCAAATAAAGCCAAATTGACGCGTGCTGGCACATCCGAGCCTGCGAGTCCTATGTCCCAAATCTTGTACATCGGTTGTAGCCCGGTTCTAAGCGCTTGCGAGACCTTACAACCGCTTGCAACCGGAAGGCCCAGAGCGGTGCTTGTAACCTGATCCAAGAGAAGAGTCATAGTTAAAAGTAGGTTGCAAGGGGGTTACAACGCGTTGCAACCCGGTTAGAATGGCCTGCAATTGAGTAAAACCCGCTTAATGGTTGCTGGAGGGGTTGCAAGCAGCTAGCAACTTGCTTCAATGACGTTTAAACCATTTTTGGACTTTACGGTTGCAACCCAAAATCGATTTTTCCGACATAATTCACTGACTTGGTGGACTGGCTACTGTACATGAATTATAGACAATTACCTTGCTTGACAAGGTTTCTGTCACCCCCTTTATTGCGTGGGAACGTCGCGCCTGCCACATTACTCGTATCTTCAATATTTCTGCCCGCTTTTGTTTGGTTTTTTGTTTGTACTCTTGATCAGATCCCTTTGAGATCAGATTCACTCTCGATCCGGATATCCTCAACCATTTTGGGCCATACTCCCATTGATAAGATAATGGATTCTGAACACTTTGTTCGTCGCCATCCTTTCCTCCCTCCCTCCCTCCCCTCCCTCCCCGTTTTCGCACCATGGATCCTTTTAATTGTAGAGTCGGTGCGTCTCTCAATCCTTGCGACGTCTACACTCACTTACTCCATCCCTACCAGGACCACGGTGCAGATCTTCTGTGCATACCACACCCATCGCTTTCAGGTTATTAACTCACGAAGTAATGCTCGTAGATTACGACTGCACGGTCTTGGCGATTTCTATATCTGAGTCTACAGTCGTTTCGCTCGTGATCGCCCCACCCTCGCTTCAGATGCAGAATCTGTAGGTACACCCTCTCGCTCGACACCATCCCCTCCGTTGATAATGTCTAACACAGAAACTCGCCATCCGTGCATACACGCTCATTGCAGGCTCAGCCACAGCAAGCTGGGGCCCTGTCTCTCGGCGTGCCCCTCTCTGAAACTCCCTCACTCATGGCGCCCATCCTTTCCTGTCCAATGGCTCTTGCTACTGCGAGTGCGTACATTATCTCACGTCTTCTCCTATGCTTAGTACTAGCTGCTTTACAGTATTGCAAGTCCCTGCCTCACTCACATCCCCGGCATCCAATGACAGGTAACAGGTACCTCATTGCCTGTGCAGGTGCCAGAAACCTCCCAGTAAGTCACATCCCCGATTGCTAACACTTCCGTGCCGCAGGATAAAGCCCTGCTGCCACGTTTGGCTGTGCGCCATACCAAACGGTCGGTGGCCGTTGCACTCGGCCGCCTTTGCAGCCTCTCCCGCAGGTATGCCTCTGCGTGATTACTTGATCTCTGATCCCTACGCATGTCCCAATACCAACCAGATACCGCCCATGAAACGGGCCGTAAGTAATGTCAATGTAATGTCGGTAAGCCCTTTCGGTCTCAAATTTCCTTATCCTCCTTTTCCTTCTCTTTGCCCATTTAATTGGAATGATCTGGCGAAGAAGCGGAGGTATGTATGTCTTCCGGTATATCGTATCGTAGTTGTAGAGTTCCTTTGTTCATAGGCTGTATTGCTGATCTTCGTCGATCTCACTCAAATTTAACTGAGTCACTGCCTACGAAGGTCAATTTGATGAACTAAACCCTGCCAAACCTCCAACGTCAAAGCCCTGGGGGCTAGGTATAGTTGAGAATGACTTGGCAAGTATATGGCGAGTCACACTTCTGAGGACGTTATAAATGTGATGGCGACGTGTGTGGATACGCTTCAACGTGTGGTAGGGAAAAAAATGTTTCTTGATAGGTCCTTATGTAGATGTCATGTTAAACTGGACATCGGAAACAATGGTTGTCATTAGCTCGTTCTTGTCTGTTGGGAATCAACCATCCCATGTGTTTACTTCTACCACACGTTATGTAACGAACATTCGCTTTCGGAGGGGCGAAGACGTTGCAATACTTACATTGTCACCATATGCATGCACGCTTGAACGCACCCCGCGCTTCGGCGCCTATCTTATCTCACATCTTGATGTTGCACCATCATACTACATATTGCAATATCAGTGATCGGTTTTGGGCACCAACTCTTATTGTTGAGCACCTGTCAAAGGTTTCACCCGTTCCC